TCAGATCCAGAGTGACTGGCAACTCTGTCATTAGGAAATCATATTCACAGTTCTGTTCATGTATATTAGACTCACGTAGACCACGAGGGAGGTAGCCCCAAGTGGCATGACAAGGTCACACGGTGAAGGCCACACCTACTTTTTAGGACCAGGTGAATGTACAGGACAAAGACCAAGGAGCTGTTACTCCTGTACCAAAGGCAGATACCTCAAGGTTTTCAGGTAGGCCTGATTCCTATGCAGACAAATACTAGACTTTATTCTGATTTCTTTCACTATTTCCTGTATGTTTAGCTTTGTCGTAAAATGCAACACACTAAATTTCGCAAAGCTCTCTGGGTTGTCTTTAGAAGTGGGAAACACTAGAGACCCTTCCATACAAATTCCATACAAAAGATTCTGTTGTGAACTTTTAGATGGATAGTTCACTTAATCAAATTTACACTATTTTCTCCTTATCCTGTTAGCAAGTCGAGGGTATGATCATTTATAATACTTAAAAGAAAACTGATCATAGATCTTTCTGTATCACAGTAGAATTGTATTGTGACCTCGTATTGTGGGCAGGCCTGACGATCAGAAAGTACAAGCCTAAAATGGTTGAATTGTCTATCTTGCTCCCTATCTATTTATCCTTGGTAGCTCCCAACTGACACAATCATTACTCACTGCTGCTCTCTGAAGGTATTATAACTCCAACGTAAAGGACATTTATTGTCGTAAGACCATGCAGTGTCTTAATAAATGCATTTTCTGTATTTAAATTTCTCATCCCAGCTGATAATTGCATTAGGTCCGCATTTTACACTTGAGGGCTAACAACTGTGGAGAATAATTGTGATCAGCTCAAATAATTGCTATTAGGTGACTATGTAATAATAGTGGGGCCTCTAAAGGGCTCAACCCCTATAGGCAATCCAGGGGGTTATGTTAGAGTGCCACACCATGGATTTTGGTATCCTGTAAGGCTACTAGCAGGCTTAAAATGCATTAAAATGCCAATTAAATAATATAATATGGGTGCTCCATGTGTAGATACTGTTTTGTTTCTCATGGAGTAACCCAACTGAATCATGTTTTTACCTTTGTGCTCAGGGTTTAGATACTTGCAAAGGCTCAGTTGGTTCAGAAAAGCATAAACAGGACATGCGAAACCAGGAACTTTGGAAAGGCTGAGGCAGGTTTTAAGAATTGGTGTTTGTTTTCAACAGGGATCTCTGTCTCAAAGATCATTCATTGAGCAGTGAGTTTACTAATCAGTAGTCAGGTTAATTCCTTGGACAGCTGATGGTGAAAAACACTCAAATACACACTGCTCAGTTCTTGTTTTTCCTGATTCAGCAGTTAGTAATCTATTACCTGCAGCCAGACACTCTCCCCTCAGCGTTGTGGAGAATCAAGTTATTGCTCATAGGAGGCCGACCTGACCCTCAGTGCGTGTTAAAGCAACAGACTTTGGGGCTCCTGTTCTCCACAGTGGGACAAAATGTGCTGGCTTGTTTTAAAATTGTCACATGTTTCAGCCTGTGTTGGTCATGCTTAGATAGTCTCTAGCTGTGTACGTGTACAAGAGTGTGTCTGAAAGTGTCCAGACACTGAGCCAGTTTCCTGTTATAGCGCAGAGTGTGCAGTAACAGGTCTAGTGTCAGCTTTTCATTCTCGGTGGAGTTGCACTGGGAATGTCCTTTGAGCGACCTAAAGGCATGCCACACACGCACAAGCCCTCACACCACTCACCTATGCAAGGCTGACTGATATTGACCACTGACATTTGTGAAACTGTTTTGTTTCTTTGTTTTTCTCTCCTTTCATTCATTATGTCCTAAGAGTGTATATGTAGCGGAAGCAGTTTTAATGTGTATGAATTTCATCAAAATATTACATTTAATGTTAACTTAAAGTAGTTGGTATTGTACATTTATCTCTTATTAATGGAATGTTTGGGGTCAAATTATCTGTGATGTCATCGCTATAACGGTCACTGTGTGTGTGTGTGTGTGTGTGTGTGTGTGTGTGTGTGTGTGTGTATAGCGAGACAGTAAGTAGAAAGGATGAGCTCTGCTCCTAAAAATAATATAAAGTAGGGGTGGGGGGAAAAGCTCGATTCTTAGATGCATCGCGATGCGGACGTGGACGATTCTGAATCGATTCATAAATGTCAAATTAATTTTACCACCATCACTGATAGAAGAGATCAGTGGAATAGGAATGTGTCTGTTTGTCTCATTCCACAACATTTCTGTTTTTTCCTTTTGGAAAAAGTGCACAAATTCAAAGCACTATTGTGTTTCAGAGCAAATGCTTGAAAATTGAGAGGAAGGGGGTTGATGAGATGAGACCGTAGTGTCAGCGGTAGGTCATTTGATGAGGACGGGCAGTAGGCATTAGGGGTGCGGGAAAAAATCGATTCTTAGATGCATCGCGATGCGGACGTGAACGATTCTGAATCAATTCACAAATGTCAAATTGATTTTCTAAATATTCAATTTATTACGTAATGTTGACAGAATGCAAAAGGCGGAACTTGGAAGTGGGTAAGTGCAGCGCCCTGACAGTCTGTGGCGGCACATAACAAAAACACAACTGGATGATCCGACCGGCTCCCTCTGCATTAAAAGCCAGGTTAGGTCAGGAGTCACAACCCAAATGTTAAGAAGAGCCATTTTGCCCTTTCAACAAAAATCAAACCACCTTGGGAGCCGCAACATTTAATGCCAGTATGTGTCAGTATTTCCTTTGCTCTGCTTTAAGCTTCAGCTATAACCCCTTTCCTCCCCTTTTCCTCAGGAAACTTTTCCTCAAACGTTGAATAGCTTCTTGTAAAGCTCTCTCTACAACGAGACCAAACCTGAAAAATCCCTGAATTAAACGGATAGGACGTCTATAACGTGCTTCGTGGGCATCCACTGCCACAGGATCTTATTTCACCGTAACTGTGCATTTTATCGCAGATGAGTGGCAGCAGTGTCTTGTGCTCCAAACAAGAACAGTGAATGAGAGCCTTCCAGTTCACTTGCCACATCACTTCCATTTGTTTTATTAATACAAGATATTGGAAGTAAATTCATTATGGACTATTATAAATACTTTGCTTTAAAAGTACAAAGTTGTCACACAGCGAAAAAAAGAAATCCTGTATAGGAAAAAAAAGATGCATCGCTAATCATTTTATAATCGCATTGCAGCCCTCTGAATCGTAATCAAATCGTGAAGTGCCTAAAGATTCCCGACCCTAATATAAAGTGTAAAAAATTGTCATAAAATAAGTTGTAAGTCTGTGAAATAACTGGTTAATATATGTGGATTACATTTTGTAAACAGCGCTTATTTGTTTAGTATGCTAATATTAGCCAGTGATCAGAAAGCCGCTGTATACAGAGTAGTCCACTTCCTAACGGTAAACAAAGTGTTTTACTGTGGTTTACATTTTGTTGTATAGGAGCTGAGAGCTGTAGTCTGTGCCTTTTAATGACCCCAACGTTTTATTCTTGTGTTTGTCAGCTAATAAACTCGGTACTATGCCTGAACCCAAAGCTTTGGTGAAGAATCGTTACTCGCACATAGTGGTCACAGACCGAAACAGAGGAGTTACATATATACACACAAAAATGCATCCTATGATCAATGGTAGTAAATAATTTGAGGCATATAATGCTGTTTCCAAACATTTTTGTTTTAAATCAATAAAACTTTGTCCATTAAGGGCAGTCTAATCAATCAGCATAGTTTTACATTCACTGAAAACAAACACACACAAAGAACTCCACATGATAACTCTGGATAAACTAATAAAGAGTACTAGTCAAACTGAAGATGTAGTATTGGCTGTCCTGTGGGCTAAGGTTACAGTTTAACAGCTATTGGTGCAAAAGAAGACAGCATGAACAGGACTTGATGGGTCCACCTTCTTTAGCAGGCTGTCCCTGATTTGTCAGAAGCTCCGTCTGATTGCATTAAGAGCTGTTATGATCCATAATGCCAAGCTAGCTGTGCAGCATAAGTTGCTGTTGTGATGTAGCCTGGTAAAAAGTGATCCACTGTGAGATGGCAAATCCAGGTTTACGTCGAACTAAGCTTAGAATTTCTTGCTTAGCCTGATATATTTAATTTGTGAGACATACCTCTGGCCTGTGAATGCGCCTTGTAGGGACTGATGTCGACTAGCTACATTACCATTCTTGGAGGTGATCCATATTGCATTATAATGAGAGTAGTCCCTTCTAAAGGAAGGAAGTAATTTGTTGCTGTCACTGAAATATTGGTCCTCTTTGTCCTTTCCGGTTGGTATTGTTGATGTTACCGGTCACAATAGGTGCCGCCTACACACTGTGTGACGCTCCCATTTTCACTATGAGGAATCGGTCTGTTAGGGTCATGGAGGTATACTGTGCTCCTACTATTGAATTTTAGACAAACGCTCAAACAAGCAAGCACACAGGATCTGTGTGTTGGCAGAGCGCCTGTTTGTTCAGTTTGATAAAAGAAAGCAAAGGGCAAATACTTCACACTAATTGCACCACAGGTCATATGTACACATGCACTCGCATAGTGTTTGTGGCTGATTTGTAGTATGAGGCACTGTCATTCTGAGTTGTAGTCCTTCCAAGTCACATTATTCTGAAGTATAATTTTGGGTTCATTCTCACCATTGTCGTTATTAATTTCATGTTACCTGGTCAAGCTTTAAGTGTTTCGTTGTAGCAGATATTTAGATGAACATGTGACTTTTACAAAACCCTGTTAGTAATGTACATTTTTACATTTACATTGTTTTACAAACTGAATAAATGGTAAGGAACTCCAAATTTGATGGCAAAGAGAGTTTCACTGGGGAGTTATGCACTTGCCCATTCACACATTCCTCAGCGAAAGAGAGGTGCATCCTGGGAGCGATCTGAGAGCTCATTTGGGTGACCTCTGAACATTAAGTGAGTTTTTCATTAAAGACCCAGAGAAGTATTTCATCACACTTGCTTTTTCTCTCTCTGTCTGTTTGATAGACCCCCTTTTTCACCCCCTCCAAGGATGCAGCCTTGACCTCCCAGTGAGCAGTGAGGTGTCTAGTGCCTCTGTTATGTTTCTTGGCATCTCTCCAATTACACATACCATCCAGATGTCTGGCATTCAATCTCAGATTTACTGTATTCACCTCAAATCAACCAAAGGGGCTGTGTGTGCTTTATGGTGGGAGAATCGCTCTTGGTTTGAATGTGTATGCATGTGTGTCTAATGTGGTTTTCATTGTGGGTAGTTCCCATGTGGTTAACGAGGTACAGGCTTGCCAGCGTTACAGTATGATGCTCTCTATACAGAGTTTGCATGCACAGTGCACCATAGTCAGAGGATTTGCAGGATGCTTCTGCCCCAAGGTTGGATCTCTGTATAATTGCATGACCTGCTCCACACAGCTGAGGGATAATGTGTGACAGACTGACTTTTGTTTTGTTGAGGTTAGCAGTGGTTAAAAAGTTACTGTGCATGTCTTCTTGTTTGTAGTGTTGTGGTTAAGCATTGTGAAGATGTAATGATCTGACTGTAGCTGTAATGATCCAACTGCATCCTGTTTACAGCATGTACTCCACTACCAGTTTACAACTTCTCAGTGTCTGATGGGACTGGGTAATATCTACAAAAAGTGTTTTTTTTTTTTTTAAAGAAAAAAATCAGGTTTAGTGATCACCTCTTTTTATTCAATAAAAAGGATTTAAAAATATTCAGTGACGTTGAGCAATGCACCTAATTTAAGTCAAAACTACATTGTGACTGCAAACACATGCTTTAGTAAGATCTTGCTGGTGTGGGTTCATGCTGGATTCCTCCCTTGCATGCTAATATTGCCCCCTTGTGGATTAATCTGCAGCCTGCAAAAACTAACAAAACCAGGCCTTGGTAAATAATTAGTAGACAATGAAACATTACATGTAAAGTAAAGATGAACTAATACCACTTTTTCCCTTCTGGTACCTGATCCTTGAGGATCAGCCAATACAGAGTACTGTTACTTATCCCAACTCTGTCAGGACTCAAACTAATTAGGCTAGATATTTATACAGTTCCACTTTTTAAAAAGGACCTATTATGCTTTTGTTTTTTCCCTTTAGTGTGTAGCTTTTTTGTGCATGTAAATCATCTGCAAAGTTATAAAACCCAAAATATACACCAGAGGGAGTAGCTGTCTGAAATTCCTTGTTGGAATTCCAGCCCGTTTTCTTTGTTACAGGTTGACACAATCTTGTAACTCAATCGTTATTGCCCACGTGCTAGCAAGCTTGGCTTACACAGCAACTGCTGGAGGCTGGGTGAGAGTTTGTTCTGACTTTCAGGATTGGACTCTGGCTCAAACTAATGTGGCAGAACCGATATTTTGTAAGAATAGCCACAGCGGTGTTTACAGCTGCTCAGGAGAGAACGGGCTGTGTGCAGATGGCAAAACGGGTACAACTTGTAGCAGAATGCTGCTACCGCTTTCTGCTGCTCTGGCGGTTGACCAGTCAGAACAGTGTGGAAAGGCTGACAAATTAGAGCACACTGGGCTTATGAGGAGGGGGACTTTAAGGCATGGGAGCTCTAACAGAGCATTTCAGACAGAGGGTAAATAGGTCTGTACAATATGAGAAAAATGTGGTTTTGGAACATTGGAGTGTCCCAAAAATAAACTTATGAACATTGAGTATAATAGATCCTCTTTAAATATTTTATTTTGGCAAAATAACTTCTGCTGCTTGTTTATTTACTAAATTGATCAGTGTTTACTGCGTGGTGCCTGATGTTTTAGTCTTGTTACTGCTCACAGTGTCTTTAGACATTGACACAATATTTCCTGATGTAAAACCATTTTGTGAAAGATGGAAGTTTTTTTTTTTTTATGTTGAGTGTTTGACTAGTTGTCAATGTTATAACATGAACAGGTGTGTGTGTGTGTGTGTGTGTGTTTTAAATATATAGGCTTACTTCACTCACTCATCTTGTTGTGTCTTGGTCTCTTACAGACTGACCAAGTGTGTGTGACGCTCATCTGAGCCTGCTGTTCCTGCTCCTGACCAGCGTGTGCAAGCGTGTGTAGCGATGCCTCCAGCAATAGGCGGTCCAGTGGGTTACACACCCCCAGAGGGTGGCTGGGGTTGGGCTGTGGTGGCTGGAGCCTTCATCAGCATCGGCTTCTCCTACGCCTTCCCCAAATCAATCACGGTCTTCTTCAAAGAGATCGAGCAAATCTTCGATGCCACAAGCAGTGAGGTCTCTTGGATCTCCTCCATCATGCTGGCTGTCATGTATGCAGGAGGTCAGTCAGTTTGTCTTGCTTCCTTCTTTTTTCTTTTTCTTATCTCACTTGCTCTTCTTCACTTGCTCTGTTGCTCTTTCTCTCACTCCTCGCGTTCCACTACAGTTAAATAAAACAACCAAACACACAGCTGTGCTTATATTAACTCTCTGACCTGCCGTCCTCTTCTGATGTGCTACTGGAAACACATCTTTTGTGTGTGGGTGTGAGTGAGATTTTCCAGGATTTCATAACTTAATAATCCAATGTTGCAAAAAAGTATAGTCCTGGTTGTTTTATGAGGAATTTAAAAACATCTTACTGAGACCTGGGGGTTATTTCAAGGAGTAGAATTTCTCAGCTAGCTGGACAATGTATGCCAAAAATAAGGGCTGTCAAATAGGAACATGCCTTGTTTTTTCCTGTTCAACAAGCTTGACTTGACCTAATGTATCTGGTTATCTGAGAAATCCTGCTTTGTAAAACACTCGCCAAGTAGTTTTAACAAAGTGTTGACATTTCCAGTTGCTGTACCTTGCCAGAATTTCCAACACAGTAACAATGGCATGGGGGTGGGGTGTTAATGTTGGGTATAAGAAGACCTCCATAAGCATACACTCTCCAAACTAATAACATCTTAAACAGGTCAAAGATCAGTGTATTCACAGCTGGATTCTAGTCTTGGTGGAGTGAGAACAGAGCTGCTTAAGCATGTGAGTGCAGACCTGATTAAGAATACAGTGGCATACATTTGAGAGAAATGGCAAGAATTCAGTTTCATCAACATGATAAAAGCCGGAGTTTCTACAGGTTTTTAACCAGCAAATGAACTCGAGTCCCCACATTACACAAAATTTGAATGATGATACCCAATCCATGTGGTTGCACAGCATAAAATAGAGGATTGTAGGCCTGGAGCTTTTGCAAATTTCTACAAATAAGTATTATACTTCTCTGTACATTGAATTTAGGTGGATCTAGTATCTTTTTTTATAGTTGTTTTTATATCTATATATCGGCACTGGCTGATACGTACGTGAAAAATATTGAATATCGGCATTGGTAGTTCCCATATCGCATTTTGCACAGGGATGCATAAGCCATTCTTTTAACAAACTACAGACATCTGAGGAGAACTCGGATGTATGTCCTCTGTGATGTTGGATATGAGAGGTAGAAGTGAAAGTTCAGCAGTTCACCAGATCTGCTGGTCTCTAAATACGTCAGCAACCCTCATCTGTTTGTTTAAAGTGGGAGCTAACTCTGTGCTTTGAATGAATACAGTTTAACAGGCTTCTGAACATGGCAGCAGTCACAGAAGTTTTGTGGTGGTTGTCATGGAAACATGGATTTCCTGTGAAATTCAGGTCTTCCCACTCATACAGAGTGGCTGTGTGAAATGGGGCTGTTTCAGTAACCCAAATGTGTGAATCTTCTGACGCGCACATCAATTGCCAAATACCAGTGAAGCATTCAAAAAACAGACTTCCAGAGTACTTAGAGTTGCTCTCAAACTACACAACCCGTGAGTCATAAGATTACAACTTCATCTTTTTTTGAAAGATGCTGGTTAAATATAGTTTGGTATAAGCTTTTCAGTTAAGCTTGCATACAAAGGAACACAACTGAATGAACATTAGTTATAAAATACGGTGCCTGTGGTATGTTTTTAATGAATTTGTGAGAGCTGAAGGCATAGGGTGACATCAGTTTGGTGAACTACCTACTCAGCATTACTCAGACTGGGAGGGCTACACACACAACTTCGCATACACGAGTTCCTGCACGTAGCCTTTATTCCACTCAAAGGCACTTGCATCAGTGAATGCGTTAACCCTAAAGCCATGGCTCCGGTTGTGCTGCCGGGGTAGGGGGGTTTGTTGGAGGTATAATGACCCTTTAATTGAATTAGAGTATTCAGTGTATGTCAAGTGAGCTGTGTTGAGAAAAGAAAAAAGGGGGGAAAACAAAAAAAAACTGTTCTCCCTGTCACTGCTTTAGCCACCAAAAGTTCATCCTGTTCATTCTACTGTGTAAATGGTTTAATATCGTTGCTGTCCAGAGAACCGTTAACTCCAAAATGATAACTTTATAGAGAGGGCAAAAATGTTATTTACTTTCAGTGTTAGTTACTGTAGAGACTTTATTCAAAGCAGTTTTGGGGCATTTCTGTTGGTCCAATCAAGAACTTTTCATGCAATGTAAAGGGTGGCTGCTGAGCTCAAATTATGTAGAAAACAGTGCGAGGAAAAAGTGTGTTTTTACAGGGACAATGAAACCTTCCTTTTAGGCAGACAGCCCATCATGTAGCGAGCATACATTTGTGATGTCTGCACATCTTGCCTTGATCTTTTAAGAAACTAGGTATTTCAGCTAACTCTATTCTGAGCACAGAAATGCCTGGTAAATATTTTGTTTGAACTGGATTAATTTTCCTTGGGGAGGTGGAGTGATGCCGTTTTAACATGTGGTCTGTTTTTCACATCTGAGTTTGTACCATTTATGCATCCAGATCAATTCTGTAATAGTTATGACTGATTTGATTTGCACAGAATAAGAAATCTTGGCATAAATTTCAGGGACAGGAGTGGCTGCTTAATTTACACGCTACCTTCAATCCTAAGAGCAAAAAGCATGAACATTTTAATTTAGCTTTTGTTTACACTATCGACCTTATCTTAAAGGGGAATTGAAATTACCTTACTTTTCTGCGTAATTTAAATAGTTGAGATGTAAACAATATCACAGTGGTTTGATGTGAAAAGCTGTGTTCTAGAGAAACTTGCCAAGTCAGAGTTAGTACTGATAGGAACCAGACATCTGAAAAGTTTAATGCCTCGAAAATGTCTTCCCAAAGAAAATGATCTTTTCAGACTAACAACTATTTTACCATTTATCAACGTTACATATAACATCTCGGACATGTATAGGTTCACTGGTGGTATTGGGGAAAACAAATAAAATGGCTATATGTAAGTTGAGACCCCTGGTTCCACTAGTTTGCAGGTTCCTCAATAATAAACCATTTCTCATCAGACCACTCTGAATGACAGCTCAATAACTGAATTAAGCAGAATTTTTGAAATTTTTGGTGGAATTCCCCTTTAGATGAAATCTAGTTAGCAATCAAGATCATTTCATTAAATCACACTTTATTCTGTCATTTTACGTCTCGGTGTTCAAAGTCGTACTCTGGAAGGGCAAGACATATCGACTTGATTTGGGCCACAGAGATCTCATGTAAATGCTTCTTCAGGACTGAAATCAATGAGAAACAACGTTGATAATTACCCCACATCCCCATGTAGAACTAATACTGTCCAAATAGTACCTTTAGTCTATTTAATCACTCGACATATGGTAGTGTTTCAGAATTGTTTGTTTGTGTGTGTGTGTGTGTGTGTGTGTGTATGTGTATATATATATATATATATATATATATATATATATATATATATATATATATATATATATATATATATAAAAATTTCTATTACTATTCTGTGGTTGGTGCTTACATAACCAAACAAAATCAATAATTTTATATATATATATTAAAAATGATTGATTTAGTTTGGTTATGTAAGCACCAACCACAGAATAGTAATAGAAATTAATACAGATCAAATTATCAAATGTATGTTAAACTAACACTTCACGCCCACTGTTTGGAGTTTACCTGGGCTGCCTTCAAGACTAGTTTGAGCAATGCAGACCTTTTAACAGAAGTGTGTGCACATGAAAAAGGGGAGTGTGAGAGGGAGGCAGTGATGTTGATGCAGTATGTTGGGAAATCGTTCAGCAGTAGAATTTGGCAACAACACAGTTGCACTTCAGGAAGGAATTGTGGAATCTGTCCAAATCGAGGGCTGTGTGAAGTGACCACCCTACACCCTAAACTCTGGGGTTCTGTGGATTCTGCTCCTGTGTTTTATGGGATTTATTATAGCAAAATGTGTTTTGTTTTTTTTTTAAAAACCCCCCCTCCTGAAAGGGGGGAAAAATTGTTAGTTGATTTAGTGAAGTGACTCCAGAGGCTTTTCCCCTGATCCAAAAGTTGTCCAATCAAATTTTGGCATCTGTAGTTGGTTAAATCCCTAAAGTGGCCTTTGGATTTTAATCAGATTTTAAATTCAATTGAATTGGACTTTTGAAACGGGAGAGCATGCTCCAAAAGAGAGGGCATGGAGTGATTGGAGTGGTTGCCTCACAAGGAGTCAGTTGTACACTTTCACTTCTTGCAGGTCAGCAGCACTTTTCTGTTTAAATTGAAGGAGACACAGTTTAAGCTCATTTAAGGCTAATTTATGCCTAGTTGGGGCAGAGGCTTGGCTTTGATTATTTAAACATTATGATGTAATATGGATTTCATTGGTTGTGATGTTTACTTTTATCCTGGCCGATGCTTCATTGTGAGCATGAAGGGTCTTTGCCTGCTCAGCTTTTGGCCTGTGTCTCCTAAACTGCATGTTTTAGCCTAGAGGGCTGAGTTCTAATAAAGTTTGCTATACCTAATCTTATTTACTCATCAATCTGGGTATGTCACATTAAGTGTGTTTTACTTTGATTTGCCAAACAAATGATTTGAATGAGAGTTTTGATACTCGCATAGCAGCAGGATCAGAACATGTTTTCCATAATGAGGTTGAATACTCAGACTCATTGCAGCATGTGTGGCCCCTGAGCTATTTGTCTGCTGAGCACTTTGAAAGGTTCTGTTTGGAAACCCTTCATGTTATGTTGGGAGCAGTGCTTTATAAGGCTGTGCTCTGCAGTGAAATGCCACAGACTGACCACAGCACCAGAAGCATGTTTGAGGTCACTTAGTACATTGCCTTCCCATTTTGTAGCACTTTATATTTGTGTGCGTATGCGTGTGTTGATCAGTGGTACCATTGTCCTAGTTCAGAATGGAAAGTTTGTTTGGTCCACTAGCAGCACAGAAGGCCTGTCAGAATATATTAGTGTGTTTGATTAAAGGACTTCCGGGCTTTCCTAACCTGTGATTGGTTGTTTCCACCTCATGTTCACTTACTAGCCAATGGTTACTGGTTGGCGTAGGATGCTGGCCTGAGAGCAGTTATTCGGTTTGTTGCATCATGGTGACGGGCTGGTTTTCGAGGGTGCTGCTGGTCTGAAATCGGTGCACAAAGGCATCTCTGAGCAAGTTTCCTTTGGGGTGGAACTTTGTGAATGACTTACTTGTTTTAGCATGAGATGGAGTCTGAAGGTATACAAAATCATGCAGGCAGAAATGAACCCTCCCCTCGGTTTACTATAAATAAACTTTGCGGGAATTGAGACAGATTCTGTAAAATTTAGTTTTGCCTTTTTGTTTTAGGGAGACAAGCTGGTTTTGCATGTGCTTAATGATTTGAGGTTTGGGGGATTTAAAGGATGCAAGACCCTGCACAGGAAGGAAAAACCATATTAGGTACAATGACTTGCGCCATTCTTTTGTACTCGATGAACCAAGAGCTTGAAAGCATGTTAATGTGAGCAGTGACACTTTACTGCCATCTAGTGGTGAAAATCTTTAATGCTGGCTTACCATTTTTTTTCCTTTCCTTGGTGCACTGCAGTTCAGTAGGAAGACATGGTCATCCTTGTAGACTAATAAAACTCAGCAGTTTTTATTCCTGGGGTGACTGGTCACAGAGTGCAGCTGGGTAAATTGAACAACTGGATGGGAGGGAAAACCTAGGAAGTGTGTGTGTGTGTGTATAATTACACATACTACACACACACATTATATACATACATATAACACATCGCTGTTGCCAGAAGGAAAACCTTGTATATCCGAAATGTAAACTTTACAGGAGAAGGAAAAAACATACCTCACTTAAGTCAATGGAACCAGACATTTTTAAGCCATTTTAGGCCATTTCATTTGGTCCATTCATCATGAAATTTACAGACAGTGTAAAGGGCAACAGGCAATTTCAATTTGTCACAAACTGAAAATCGACATAACTGGAGATAGAAGGTTTTGTTCTAACAGCCATAGATAGATGGATAGATTGGGGTGTTTTTTTTTTTTTTTTTTTGGATTTTAGCCAAGTAAGGTTGTTGTATGCAGTTAACCATGTGCAAACACCATAGGTTTAGTTCAGCACTACACCTATACCAACATGACAGGAAAAGCAGAATAAAACAAGCTTTTTTTAGTATTCAATTTAAATGTGTCCCATCCTTTTTCTTTGATGGGTTTCAGTACACCTTTTGCCAAGCAACTGTAGAGGTGCATACACCATTGACCTTTTTTGACTGACACAATTTTTTTTTCTTTTATGTGCATATGTTGGATGAATTATTGCCAAATTCTAAATAGTACAATTATTTAGACAAGTAAATATTCTCAATGGGGGAGGAAAAAATTTAAGTCTACAAATGCTAGGGCAAACAAGCATGTTTCCAATTTATTTGTTTCTACCCATAAAAAGCATGTTCACCTGTAAGCAGGAAAGATCTAACCATGTTTTAGTGGCCAGGTAGGACTGAATAAAAGGAGGATCACAAGCATTTTAAAGGCTGTCCTCTGCATACCAAGTTATTCTGTGTATTTGTAGTTTATCTGAGGCCGGTCTGGTTGGACATGACTGAAACCCAAGTGCATCAAGTACAGTATTAGATGGACCAAAGCAACAAATGTAGTTCACTGAAAGCATGTACCCTGTTTGACATGCCCTTTTTGCTCCTACAGGACCAATCAGCAGTATTCTGGTGAACCAGTTTGGCAGTCGGCCAGTCATGATAATAGGAGGCTGTCTGGCTGGCACAGGATTGGTGGCTGCTTCCTTCTGTAACACTGTGACGGGGCTGTACTTTTGTGTGGGAGTGATAGGAGGTAAGCTGACCTGGTCACTGTCCAGACACACGTTAGCAATGCTGATTTGGACCAGTTAAACAAAGTGTGAGCCTAATCTGAAATTAGCCTGTCTTGTGACATTGACTTCGACTAGTCAGACACAGAAAATGCAGATCGAGCAGCCATGGGGTGACAGAACATAGGGCCAGACCTGTTTTAGTGGAATGGGAAATATTTGGAAGCATATGGGAAAACTTACAGAATGCTCGTTATAGAAACAGTGCCATGTTTGTTGCGCCATATCAGGCCCTTTACCAGCGTTATTGTTGTAAACATTGTTAATCTGTTTTTGTTAATTTAGCTTTGTTTGTCATTGTTACCATTGCTGTCTTCCTCTTCTCCATGCAGGTCTGGGTTTGGCGTTTAATTTAAATCCAGCCCTGACAATGATTGGTAAATACTTCTACAAGCGGCGTCCAATTGCTAACGGCATCGCAATGGCGGGCAGCCCTGTGTTCCTGTCCACGCTGGCGCCACTGAACAGTTGGCTGTATGACCAGTTTGGCTGGAGAGGGAGCTTCCTGATCCTGGGTGGTGCTCTGCTCAACTGCTGCGTGGCTGGCTCCTTAATGCGGCCCATTGGGCCTAAGCCACAGCCACCGAAAGCCAATGCGGAGGAGGATGGAGGACCCAAAGGCCGTCAACAGAAAACAGTGATGGAGACCATCAACAGCTTCATTGATTTGACCCTCTTCATGCACCGTGGGTTCTTGCTGTACCTCCTGGGCAATGTCATCATGTTCTTCGGCCTGTTTGCCCCACTTGTCTTCCTCAGCAACTATGCCAAGAGTATGGGCATTGCCAAGGACAAAGCTGCCTTCCTTCTGTCCATGCTAGCCTTTACAGACATGGTGGCACGGCCCTCGATGGGGCTGGTGGCCAACACGCGATGGGTCCGGCCACGGATCCAGTATTTCTTTGCTGCCTCCGTGCTCTATAATGGTGTTTGCCACTTGTTGGCCCCACTCTCAGTGGACTATGTAGGGTTTGCTGTGTACGCAGTGTTTTTTGGTGTTGCGTTTGGCTGGCTGAGCTCCGTGCTGTTCGAGACCCTTATGGACTTGGTGGGAGCGCAGAGGTTCTCCAGTGCTGTGGGGCTCGTCACCATTGTGGAATGTTTACCTGTTCTGCTCGGACCCCCGCTACTGGGTAAGTGCATTTGTGCAGACATGAGTCTGGACAAGTTCTAAAGTCTGACCCGCTCTGCTGGACTGATAAGAATATGAGTGGTGACTGTGGTACAGAGCTCAGCAGTCCTACTTTGATTCTCATGATTATGAACATTAAATGACTGCAAATCAGCAATCCTAACTAGAGATGAGTGTGGTCCCTTTAAATATGCTGACTTTTATACTCTTCTTTTTAGTTATGCAGTATTTGAATAAGGCATGTGTAGTTTGAAATGAAATACATGATTATCTTGTAGTTTTTGGTTCCATTTACCACAGATTTAGTCGAGCAGACATGTTTGGTGTCCAAATTTTGCTTCTTTAGATCTGCGCTTGAAGCTACAAGGCTAACTTTGCTAACACACCAGAAGTCAATGGTCACCTTAGTGTTTTCTCAAACTGTTTGCGTTTAAAAAGGTCACACAGACGTGTCCCAGTTTGATTGATTTTTGTAGTCCACAGTAAGTCATACTGTGCATTAAACCATTTTGACAAGTCTGCATGACCTTAAGACCTGGATGTGGTTTAAAGCGGGTTTGAGGGAAGTTGTGAGGATGTATTCATGGAAATAGTTTGGGTGATTGACTCCTAGTGTTTGTTAGAAAGATATAGCTCAAGCGCTAAACTAAAGAAGCAAAATTGGACCCCAGATGTTTTAGTCTGTCTTATGCCTTCAAGCTTGCACTATATAGCTTTGTGATCTTTTCATTTGACACATTTCCATATTAAGGTTTGCATAAAGTGCTCATCCTTAATGCTGACGGTCCTTGAAGTGGACCTTGCATGCATATAATGTGTTTAAATATTGAATAGATATTGTTTTTGTCTCTCTGTAGGCAAGTTGAATGATAAATACAAGGACTACAAATACACTTACCAGGGCTGTGGCATCATCCTGGTCATAGCCAGTGTGTTCCTGTTTGTGGGCATGGGGATCAACTACCGTATGCTGGACCGAGAGCGGAAGGAGGAGGAGAAGAAAGCTGGCCTGGAAGCCAGGGATGAAGAGACCAACATCGACAATGCCATCAAGGAGAAAGAGAAGGAAGCAGAGAATGACGTGTCTACTCCACTCACACAAGCAGACGTAGCCAAAATGGATGAGGACACTGTATAATGTGCATTTACATGTGCACACCCCTTCACACTCAGACATACCTGATGACCAGCATTGTCTTCCAATTGACCGTCCGCAATAAATAAAAATAAGCCAAGGACAAAGTTGTACAGGAGTAAGAAATGTAAAAAGCTTCAGTCAGCCACACACAAACCATTTTCGTTGTTTATACACAAATGTTCTGTGCTAGATGTTCCAGTTCTTGCTCTTTTAGATTTTAGATTATTCCTCTCACTTTGTAATCTCAATATGACTGAAGTACCAATGTTTTATACACAATCCCACAAAGTTCATATGTCACAATGGCTGTTTTTCAGTAGTGGTTATGCTACTGACACCCTGTTCAGTACATGTATCCTTGTAGATGAGGTAAGGCGATGAACAGGTACTTCTCAACAGTTCAATAGATTTGGTTACAGATGTTTGAGCACCAGTTAGAACTTTTGCTGTAGTCTGGTATGTGTGTCGAGAGAGCAGTACTCAGCAGATACCTCTTAGGAAAGGGGGTTGAGTATGGCTGTTAATGGTCCGATGTAATTTCATTTTAACTGGAGGAATTCAGAAAAGTTGCTAAAGTACTTCTCACTAGTGCTCCTGACTCTTCTGCACAATCACCATGATGATTTGTAATGCTTACCAGCAATTAGACACAGTGCCAAACTCCAGTACTCCAGCACACTTCTGACAGGACATTTTATATCGTAACTTCACGTCTTCACACCAGTGGTTTAGATCTTAGGAATTTCTTCTTCAGATTGTGCATGAATAGTACATGTGTATTTTGTTTCTCTTCTGTATTACGCTTCATTGGTGGAACATGTGAAAGGGTCATCCCTTAAAAATTTCTCATTTGTCTATTTTCATATGTATGTTCTCCATGTGATCTAGGTTTTTAAGGAACATTTTTTTTTAAAATAATCTCTAATCTTTGTGCCTTTCAATGAGGTGCCTTATTTGTAAAGCCCTCTAAACTTAGCGAGAGTCCACAGCCTATTAAAATAATTTTTAACCCTTTTCTACAAACTAGTATGCCTAACTGTGGTGTCCTTGTTTAATATTATGCAAAAATACCAGAACATTTCTTGTGGTTTTATACTAACTGGACTAGCGAGTTTGGTCTGCTGCCTCCACAGATGGTGCAGCTTGCAATTTTTTTTAATCAATGGGTAGTAATGAGCATGTGAAATTTATGCAGTTGCAGTTCAAGAAACATCTCTAAGATCAACAGTGCTTAACTTCTTAAAAGCACATCTGGGCTGTTTGCTCACATTACTATTACACTTGTGTTCTCCAGACACCAGTACACTGTAGGTATCTTTTATGTGAGTCTGCTCTTTTACAGGTGGAAGGCTCTCTAAGTGGAAGGCAATTTAAATTCTCTGTGCACTTCCACATACCAATATGCACTTATATTTTATTTTTATTTTAAGTGCACTTTAGTCTGAGATGGATAGGCCAGGATCACCAATACTGCGGAGTTATGTACACTTAAGTACACAGAATAAGTATGGATCAGTCATGAATGCTGCATGTTTCATTATCTGGGATCTGTAACTGTTCTGTCAATGGTAGCAACAGAAAAGAGACAGTTAACCTCTGAACTGCCAAACCACATTACATTTAACCTGTTAAGCTGACAAGGAATCAGAAATGCATTTCTTCTAGCTGGTGTTATGGCTTCTGTGTTAGAAAGCAAATATATACTGTACCTGCAGTATTTCTTCATTCCAAAACTAAACTATCAGCTATATGATTAGTGTCCAGCTGTAGAGCTTTTTTTAATGGCCCCTTTCATGTGTACACATTGTTTTATAAATGCTTTAGCTGGAAATGAAATGAAGGAAGATGCATTGTTGTAGAAAGGGGGAAGGGCATTCCACACAGAATGGAGGTGTGAGGACTGTCAGTACAGCTTTGAGTGTAAAAACACTCCGTACAGACTTTCGGTACTTTGATTTAGGATTAGACAGTGGGGGTTTTTTGGGAGTCAGGGTCTAGTTTTGTGATAATAAATTTTCTTGTGTGATATTTTGTAGGTCTGACATTTTCTGAGTAGTAAATCAATAAACTGTTTTTAAAAACAGATTTCTCTGCATTCTTTATTGTAATGAATTTTATGCGGCAGAGAGTTGCAGTGATGTTTTGCTGTGGTGCAGTCGCAATCATGTAGTTCCTTGTGTCCACCACTAGATGGGGCTACAGCAGTAACTACACATTTAAATCTTACAAACTCGAGAACTTCTGGCAAAAGAATTCCGTCTATAAGTTTAAATAATGTGGATTTAACGTGCTGAAAAACTTGACATTGTTTCTCAGTTTCTAACAGCTAAAAGTCCACAATTGTCCACAAATGCCCACCTCGTTATTTTATATATATATATATATATATATATATATATATATAAAGCTGTTCAGCTGTAAGTTGAATGTAATAGATTGGGGATTATTAAATATGCTTATTTTAAATTAAATAATTTCAGAAAATATTAAAGTAAATAGTTCATAAGCCACATGTCTTTCGAGTATATTCCGCCTGTTGGCCTTATGATTGTGCTTTGTGTTGGAAACAAACACCTGTTTGTAATTTCTTAACCGTGGGCTATTTTTGGCCATGAGCCATCGCCGCTCAGCACAAAACTGAAAGCCCATGAAATCATTTCATTGGATTCTGTCCTGATACAGGCTTCTGCTCTGAGTCAACAGAAATACACAATTGTAATAAGGCTCCCTCCCCGTCGATCTATTCATAGCTCGGCGCTCTTCCATTTTGACGCAGAGACCAAAACCACATACTTATACCAAAACTACACGTATTAAACTTCTTAATGCACTAATGGTGGATATGTACTGTGTAGTTTGCTAGTATGCGGTTTCGGACACAGCCTAGTACAAGCTAGGTTGAACGGCTGTTACCGTGGAAACCTGGAAGCGGTAAAGGAAACAGAGATGGAAGAGAATCTTGAAAACCAGCGGTTACATTACCTTAAAACTACGAACTAAAACTTTTATAAGACATACTTAATAGCTATTTACACTGTCTTTTTCACTGAAGCTGTCTCTGTACCTTTCTACCTTCTATGTACCATGCTTTTAATCTTTTCCTTCGTTCTTTCTAGTTGTTTGTGTGGATGAACAAACTAGCTAGCGTTAGCCAGGTTGCTAACATGACAGATACCGTCAGCTAGCTAACCTCTCCAGTCAACATATTTCGCACGCCATATATTTTTTCTGCTAATGTTCATTTTTGCTGATGATTTTGAGATATTTGACATGTCCGCGACAATCAACCCACTTGCAAATCCCAAAGGAGGGAAGAAATTGTGTGAACTTTGTCAGAAACCAGCTTACCTCCAGTGCTCGAAATGTCGAGTCGCCTTCTATTGGTGAGTTTAACTTACTTGACTAGTGAAATATTCGGAAATAACCTTTTTGCCAGACGGTTTAATGACGAGCAGTTATAGTCAGAAGCCAACAGTGAGGTAAAGTACGCCAGGTGGCGGTAAATCAACACTGACTGCCTTCTTGGCGCTGTTGGCCATGTTGCATAACGTTTCCGTTACAGAGAGAGAGAGAGAGAGAGAGAGAGAGAGAAGAAGGGAAGCCTGAGTGAGCTGAAACAGCTGGGGGAGAAATTGGAGGTGCAGTGTAAGAGCTGGGCAAAAAGACCAAATCTGACTCGAAACACGCAAAGTGCGCACTGAGTGTTTCAGTCTATGAAGTACAGAGTCTAAACGGCAAGTGCTAGAAAATACACACTACGTCCAAAAGTATACAGACACCCATCTGGTTAAGGTCACCATGCTCAATGCCAAGCTTCAGCCACAGGGCCCTAGAGCTCTCCAGCATTAGGCTGTTCTGGTTCTCTGCAGCCACGAAGCACCATGCAGTACCTTTGGGATGATGATGCCATTTTTGATCCTGAGCTGAACATCCAGCATCAGTAACTGACCTCACTAGTGCTCTTGTGGTTGAATGCAACCAATCCTCACAGCAATTCTTCCCAGAAGAGTAGAGACCATTACTGCAGACCATCCTTGATTTTGGAAGAAACTGGTGTCTACAAACTACATGCAGTGTGTCTTTTGTTGTAAGACTGTGTCTGTATTACAGACCTAAGTCAACAGTAAGCAACAGACATTAGAATGTAGTCACTGCATTTTAACTGAAGCATCATCGCAGTGACAGATGTATTTGTGTGCATGTATGTGTGTCTCTGTGCAGTGATGTGGCGCACCAGCAGGCAGACTGGAACAGTATCCATAAGAGGGTGTGTGAGCTGCTTATTCCCATACGAGCATCTACTCCTTTCCACTCTTTGCAGGCAGACAGGGACCATCACCGGGTGCAGGCACAAAAGAGACTGGTACGCACCCTCACTCAATCACTGCCTTTACTGAAGAGCACAGACCATCGTTTGTACATACATACAGCCTGTCTGTATATCTCAAAAAATCTAATCTGCCGTTTTGAAACATTTGAGAGCCCCTTAAAGCTCGGGAGCCCTAAATGACTGCATATGCTGCTTAAGAAACTGTATATGTGTTCTACCGCCTAGGTGCTTACTGACAGCCAATTAGAACATCTGATATCTAATTGTAATATATTTTCGAATGACATTAGGAGCAGCTACTGGAGCTGTCCCATGCAGAAGCTAAGGGACGAGTTTTGGAGGGGAAGTATGTGGAGGCCTTGCCTGCTGGTCAACTTTCGCTGCGCTGTGCCATGGACCTTTATGGCCCTGATGCTGTTGAGCTGGTGCCAGCCTATCTGCTGCTTGCAGAAGCCAATGTGGGTGAGTCACGTATCAACTATGATCCTACTGCTCACACAGAGTTTGTATATGTATATTTAAATATGTGTAACCAGTTGGTAGATTCAGGACTTGTGGAGCTGGGTGTAAACGCTTTGAGACATACCTGCCATTTTCTTGTGAAATTAAACCAGACAGTGAATCATTTGAGTGTTTTAAAGGACCTATATCATGGCAGCCTGATTTTTTCTCCTTTTTTTTTATAGAAAATGTTTTATGTGGTATGTGAACACTGCTGAAGTTTCAAAACGTACCATTACCTTCATATATGGAAGTGAAGCTACAAAAAACTATACTATTTTAAATGAAATGTATTTGTGGTGTCATAAAAATCAACATATTTAGTTATGTCCACCCATTCAGCCTACAGCAGTTCAGCCCCACCCATGCTGAAGTGAATATAAGATAAGACACCCCTGCTTTAAAGGGCCCACTTAATGGAAAACTTTTTTTTCTTCAATTTTTTGTAATAAATGGGTTTGATGTAGTGTATAAACACTAGTAAACTAATGTAGCATTCGCTCCCTGGTCCATACAGTTCACATATGGAAATTAAACCTTAAAAAGAGCTGGTTTTTAATTCATTCACTAATCATTCTTAAGAAGAAATTTCTTCTTAAAAGCCACTTACACAGTTTTCACAAAGTTTCTGACATTCACCAGTGTCTTCTTATTTGGGATTTGTTCTTTGGTAAGAACAGAATCTACGCACACTCAGGAGCACAAAGATGCGAACAGTTCTGTGGTTTAAGAACACGTCATGAATCTGACATTGACTTTTTCTTAGGACCTCTCAACAACAAATTTAAGAAAAAACTTGAGGCCCATTGTTTGCTTGATATCACAAAAAACCAATACACGTACATGTATCCAACTACTCAGGCTACAACAGTGTAGCAGCTTAGTAGTGTTTCAGCTTGTATTCCTTTTTGAATGAGACGCAGTACAGGGCAGCCAATCAGAATAGAAGTCCTTTGCATTTTAAATGTACAGAAAAAAAAGACTTTAATTCTAAGGCAGGGGTATCAAACTCAACCACTAAAAGGGCCATATTTAAAAAATCTCGACAAATCTGCAGGCCAGCTGTGTTTTTACATAACGTTTTGCCATGACCCCAACTGACCAATGTTTGTTCAAAGTATGCCAAGACTACAATGGCAAAAAATAGGCACTTGAATACTTGAACGATTCAAAAATGTAAAAAAATAAAAACAAATTGTTTCATATGAAAGAGTAGACTACATTATCTGTAGATAACTGTTAAACCTCTTTAAATGTCCCCAGTGTACAGTAGGTTTTTTAAAACTGCCTGTTTGCTTGAACTAGATACCTAGTATCTTTTTTTCTTTTGTTTTGTTTTTGTGGTGCAGTCCTATAGATCGTTGTTGGGGAGGGGGTGGAAGAACACATTATGTTGCAGTGCATGCAGGGAACTGTAGTGCAGTTCATGGTGAAATGGGCTAATATTAAAAGAAATTTATATAATTTTGCAGGCCGAACAGGATTGTGCCACAGGCCTGACTTGGCCTGCGGGCCGTGTGTTTGACACATGGTTCTAAGGCATAGAGAGAGAAGAATTGGCCATGTAATAGTCATTTAAAATGTAATGATCATGCAAAAAATAATTATGACTGTTTTTCTGTACATAAAACCATGCCAGTGTTATAAGTAGATCTCAGGGAAAAATACAGTTTAAGAAAATGTAAGATATGGGCCCTTTTAATCTCACTGTTGAGTTCCTAACAGCTCAATCTTGCTTTGTTCTATTAGGTCTCCGACTGTCTGTGTGCATATTTTCACAGGTTCAGGTTCTCTCACTAAGGCTGAAGGCTATCTCTCCCAGGCTGAGTGGACAGTGATGAAGACTCCAGGTTGCAGTCGGACGATTCTCCATCAGCTCCATAGAAACTTAGGACGTCTGTATACAGCCTTAGGAAACTACGAATCTGCTCTCCTGCACTTCGCCAACGATGTGAGTGTCCACCTGTGTGGTGGAAAATGTGTGTCTATATGAATTATATATATTATTAATATATTATATTAAATATACCAGAAATTATTGCAACAGTATATTGCAATATATTGTGATTGCAATATGCTTTCCAGTATAATAAAAACACACTGGTGAATTAGTAATGTGACATTGGTAAAGACTGACCTGCAACATTTTGACCAAAGTATCCTTTTGTGTAATGTCCTTTTGTTCAATTACATGAATAGTTGAGATTCATCAAAACACCCACTGAACCACTTATCTGGAACCGTACGTGTGTGTGTGTGTGTGTGTGTGTGTATATATATATATATATATACATATATATATGTGTGTGTGTGTGTGTGTGTGTGTGTACTTTTGCATATTTTTGCATTTTTTTGCAATATATGCATTTTTGTATTGAAATGGCAATATGAAAGAGTGCAATTCTCAAATTGATTCTCAGATCAAGAGCTGCAAATTTTAATATAGCCTACAAGTTTTAAGTGGATCATTTTTTACCTTATAACCAATAATTAACCTAATAACTGCCAGTAGATGAGTTAGACCACTCAGATACAAACCACATGATGCATAAATGACAGGACAACCACAAATAACGGGCCATCTGGCACACTGTGTTCTGCACTTGAGCCTGAATTCAGAAAAAGTGGCCTAAAAAAACAGATCTGGTTGTTAATTTATTGAAAATAACTGCAATTTTAATCGCAGTCACAATGTTGGTCAGAAAAAAAAATATTTCCCCAAATCATTCAGGCTGGTGTAGGTATATGTTCTTAAACAAATGTCCTACGTAAATGTGGAGTTTGTCAAATGATGGCTTTTGTCTGTGTTTGTACACACAGGTCTACTATGCAAGCGAGGAGTTCGGCTTGAACACTGTTGAGACGGCTGGAGGTTACTACCTGATGGCAGAAGTCTTCAGCAAACAGGAGAAGCTGGACATCGCCAACTCCCTCTACTCACAAGTACATCAGTATACTATTCAGCTTATTTATTCCATTCACTCAGCCTTGCACTCTAGTGTGTTATTTTGTTTGTGTGTAGGTTGCCAGTACCTGGCATGCTCACCTGTCTAAGCTGGTGGAGTGCTACAATCAAACGGGAAATCAGGGAGAGCAGCACTTTGGTGAGCATCCTTAATAGGCCAGTCTCTCCAGTCTGTGTCTTCCTTTTTCTTTCTCCTCTAACCTAACCTTCAGATCAGAAGTGAGATGATCGCACCAAACAGGCTGTATGCGTGAAGTGTGTGGGTGTTGGCTGCTGTGGAAATCAATTCTGCCCTGAGTGATGGAGTGATTTTCTTGGTATTGGTATGGGGTCATGAGCTGAAAGTGTTCAGCAAACCCAGCCCTACCTTTAAAACATATTTATGAATTATGTTTCCACATTAAATGTATTTGTATGTGCAGAGGGAGAAGATAGAGAATAAGGTCACCGGGACTATTTTTAGCATATCCTGATGCTTTATCTCACAGCAAAACCAGCTTTGCCTTTACCTTACCAACAGATGACTAAACCCATCCCTGACACAGCTTAATGCAGCATGTGTGCGTGTCTGTCCTGCATGCATGTCTATGTGTTTTCCTGCCCTAGTTCTCTCTCTTTGTAAGCCTGTTAAAAGCAGCTGTGGAATGGCACAGTTGCTCCTCCAACCTGGCTGTACTAAGATCTGTGTGTGTGGGCATGCTCTGATCAGCCACTTCCACTGTACCCACTAAGCTGCTGATTCTGGATCAGCTGACAGGCACCAACCTTGAGGCTGACCTGACCCCAGAGAACAGGAAACAGCGCAGCTACAGCAGTCTTGTGCCACATTTTGTTTACTTAGCTACTAACCTCAGGGTGTACATGTCCAGCCGTCTGACATGATCATCTCTTCTCTGCGCTCAAGCATCTCATACATTTACATGTATACATGTATGTAATAGAGAGTGTTGTGCAAAAGTTGAGGCCCACCTTTTATTTATTTGCTTCCAGTCAAAATGACCATTAAACACAGCTGTTGAATTTCTATTTCTGAGAAGATTAGATATAAAATAATCCATTTGCACAAGGAATGGGAAAATCAGAGGAGATTCAGTGAAAAAAAAAGAGTTTCCAAAACTGGAGATCAAAAAATCATTAAAGGTTACAGAGGGAATCGGGACTCTCAAAACCATGCAAATCCTGGTAGACCACCTAAATTGTCATTATCAAACAAACAGTACTTAAAACATTCATCTTTGAGAGGAAGGAGAAAATCAAGCTCCACTCGTGCTTCAGATATCAAAAAGTACAAGGGTGTTTCTGTCTATCCTTCCACTGTGTGAAGACAACACCATGAGTCTGAAAGGATGTGTAGCTGTCAAGAAGCTGTAACCGAGAAAAGGAAATGGACAAAAAAGAAGAAAATTTACAAATCGAACAAAGAATCTGCTGGTGTTCTCAGAACAATGGACTGGCCACCTCAGAGTCACTGCATATGTACTTGGATCATGAGTATCAGAAAATGCAACCAACTTCTAAGACTGAACTTTTGAAAGGGTGGAAAAATATCCCTTCAGATTTCTTTGAAAAAAGCAAAGAATGGAAGCTGTAAGAAATGCCAGGATGCACACGCTAAATACTAATAAATGTTATTATTTTTAGTTGTTCAGGCTTCTGTATAATTTTCTGTTTTATTTGCCTGTAACAGAATATGTATGTATATGACACTGAAAAAAATGATTAACTTGCATCTAATGGCTGTTTTGGAAATGAAGGGTGGTCTCTGACCTTTGCACAGTAGTGTACATGTGTCTATTTGTGTGCATTCAGATGAGGCGCACCTTGCAGAGGTGGATCATATGTTGGGTGTGATGTTGGAGGCTCAGCAGCAGGGTGCAAACACACATCCTGCACTGTCTTACTCTCTTGGTCAGTGCTCGTTGCTGTGTCACTCTCTCGCCATGCTCTGGTTCCTCTGCAGCAACCATGATAAGGTAACCCGCTGGCAACAGACCATTGTGTTTCCACAGTACACTCTTATATTCAGTATACATCACATTAACAAATACCCATACACCTTTACAGTCAATATGTTAATGCATTTATATGTTACTTTTCCTGGCATGAAAATACTTTGACTATGTCAATATGTACACAGTGTTAACAGTACATGCTAGAGGGATGTGTGGAGAAGAGGAGAAGAAAAACAAAAATACTGTTTGCCCTCTACTGATGTGGTTTAAAGGCTTTACTAGCACAGACAATATAGCCATATGTATTTATCTGAGAGAGGCAGTGCTGTGGTCTGTGGGTGTGTGTTACAGTTCAGACCATATGACTCTTTTAGCTACCCTTACAGGCTGAAGTATCTAAGTGTGAAAGGGAACTGGGGACACTTACATAACAAATGCAATTTATTTTCTTTTTAAAGGAATATCCAGCCATTTTTCAACCTAATCCCTATCTGCTACATCTGTAATCGATTAGCATGGACTATAATATCCATGCGTTTCTCTGCTTAGTAAAGGAACAGAAAGCTACCTGCTTAGTAGCTTTTATTGTAAGTTTGTTTTGAGTCAACAGGTTTTCTGTTCTTCTTTAAATATAAGGAAATTATTGTCTGTGGTAATCAACTATTGCTACTATGCGGCAGATAGAGATTAGTTTGAAAAGCCATGTAGTGCTATTACAGCTAGGTTTCCATTACAAAAACTGCACTGGCCTGAGCTGTGCATAAATATGTGTATGTGGTCCTACATCAGCTAAGTGCCTTACTAAGCTAGTCGGTTTTGTACCACATTAAATTGCCAGCTCCCCCTGGCAAGAAGGGAGGTCTGTACCTAGTGACCCTGTATCTTGGGCTGGCCAGCCTAAGCCATGTGCTTTGGCTCACTGAACCCCATGAGATTATACCCTTCTGGTCCCAATTTGTAACTCTGGAACTGTCTCTAACCATAAACTAAATCCATCCTGAAGTCTTTCCCCAATATATCTTGCCCATAAGAAAATACAAATTCAATGAAAGCATCTCTATATTACAGTGGGTGGTAATGTAATATAAATAAAACACCACAAAAATGATCAGTTAACTTAGAAAAGCAATATAATGCAGCATCTATTTTAGTCAAGTTTGTGTTGTATAAACCCAACGTTTTATTTCTTACTGTAGACCATAAGTACATCTAAGGCCCAGTGTATCCTCTATGTCTAGTGTAGGGATTAGCACTAATGGCTAAAGCCAAAGAGATAAGGCCAGTTAGCTTTGGTGTGTCACTGGTTTGAATCCCATTATGATGTCCTGCAGCTCACAACCAAGAGCTAAACTCTGTCTGAAGAGCTGCAGATCAGATTAGCCTGTTTTATGGTGGTGCCATGCTTAGTAAATCAGTTGTCACTTCATTTAGGTGAATAATGTAATATAGGACACTGTGTGGTCAAAGGTATGTTGACTCCTCTCCTAATTACTGAGTTCAGATGTTTCAGCTACACCCATTGCTAAGAGGTGTATAAAATAAAGCACATAGCCAACAATCTCCCTTTGGCATTGGCAGTAGAATGGGTCGTACTGAGGAGTTCGGTGGCTTTAAATGTGGCACTGTCATAGGCCACATTGATGTCATCTTGGCCACAAGTCAATTCCTGAAATTCCTGCCCTGCTAGATCTGCCCCAGTCAACTGTGAGTGCTGTTGTGAAATGGAAGAATCTAGGAGCAACAACAGCTCAGCCATGAAGCGGTAGACCATGCAAACTCACAGATATGAGGCTGCTGAGTGTTGAAGCGCGTAACTCGTAAAAATAGCCTTCTTCTGTTCCGTCACTTACTACAGAGATCCATAGTGCCTTTGAAAGCAACATCAGCACAAGAACAGTATGTTGGGAGCTTCATGAAATGGTTTTTCATGACTGCACACAAGCCTGGGTTCCTTATGCACAGTGGCAAGCATTGGCTGGAGTCGTGTAAAGCAAGCAGCCACTGGACTCTGGAACAGTAGAAACATTCTCAAGACTTATGAATCGTGCTTCACTATCTGGCAGTCTGAATCAGGGTTTGGCAGATGCCAGGGCAATGCTACCTACTGCAGTGCATAGTATCAACAGTAAAGTTTGGTGGATAATGGCCTGGGGCTGTTTTTTCAGGGTCTGGGCTAGGCCCCTTAGTGAAGGTTAAAGCTAATGCTACAGCATACAAAGACATTTTGTATATTAAACAATTTATATTTTATAATTCTATGCTTCCGTCTTTGTGGAAACAGTTTGGGGAAGGCCCTGTTCATGTTCCAGCATGACTGTGCCCCTGCACACAGAGTGCTGTCCATAAAGATATGGTTTGATAAGTTTGGTGCAGAGGAACTCCAGTGGCCTGCATAGAGCCCTGACCTCGACCCCACTGAACACCTTTGGGATGAACTGGAATGTTAATTACGAGCCAGGCCTTTTCATCCAGCATCAGTGCCTTATTTCACAAATGCTGTTTTGACTGAATGGGCACAAATTCCTACAGACACACTTTTTTTTATCTTGTGGAAAGCCTCCCCAGAAGAGTGGAGGCAGTTATAGCCACTGAAGAGGGGCAAACCCCATATTAATCACCATTGTTTTGGAATGGAAAGTCCAGTAAGCTCATATTGGTGTGATGATAAGGTGTCCACATCCTTATAGTGTACTTTGGTACAGAGCTGGGTAGGGTAGCCCAAACCTATACTCAAGTAAAAGTAAAAGCACCTTTCCAACAGCTTAATACAAGTACAAAAGTAGCAGGTCAGAAAAACTAATTTAGTACTGGTGGAACTTTTTGGGGCCCTTTTGGTTTTAAATAAAATGCTCTGAAATGAAAGGTTTAACCAATCACAAAGCAAACTAATGTGACATAATGAAATTATAAATACCAAAAGGGAATCTGTAACTATATGATGATGGCTAGAATGTAACTGGGTAAAAAGTTCAGATTTCCTCCCAAATATACTTACATTATTGTAAATGTGTTTTGCTCATCCAGAGTTGGAATTTAATTATGTTTTAGTGAAAGGCAAATGTTGTGTTAGGAGTAAAGTTCAAGGACTCTTGTTGGTATAGTGCAATGTGGTGCACTTGCCTATGCAGGGAATGGATCTCTGGCCTACCATGTGGAGGGTGCTGTTACCCACTACACTATACCAACTGCAACAAGTGAATGAGTGAATGTAATTAGTGATTATCCATCCCTGCTTAGGTATTTGATTTTTGATGTTTGTGGTGCACTTTCTTGTGCATGTCTGTGTGTTTGCAGGTGCTGGACTTTGGTAGGAAGGCCATGGAGTTTAGCCTGCAGTGTGAGCACAACAGTCTGGCTGAGTCCATCCAGAGTCTCATACAACAAGCAGAAAAACACTTCAACACCCAACAAAACCATATTATTCATCACTAACCAATACATTCAACACTCCTATTCTAATACACACACTTAAAATTAACCAGTACACTCAACACGCGCCTCTGACTCAGCACTTACCATAATACACTTGGCAGTCATTCATTTAACACTCACTTATAACCTCAACAGTCATTCAACCTCAACGCAAATATGTACACAACATTGCACATTCAATATTATCTTGTGTAAAAATTCAGTAACAATGTAAACACAATATACAGTAAATTGATCTAGCATCATAATCCTTTGTTTGTAGAGCTTATGGCTGTGCAGTTTCTCAGCATGCATTGTGCATAATTAATGATTAGTAGTTGCTCTGGTGTTATTACAAATCAGAATGTATTGGAATGATGGTGTTAAATAACGACACAAGCCTTGGATGCTCTTTTTATGTTCCAGACATTTTTAAAATGTCTTTATTATTATTATTATTATTTATTATTATTATTATTATTATCATCATAACACATAACATCGATGTTAGAGTTCTATTACTAGTAGTTTCCCTAGTATTAAATTATACAACATTGCTTGTGTTTTTGGCATTCGGGAGGAACGTCTCACTAAAAGAAAAAAAAATAATAAAAGAAAGAGGCGATGAAGTGTGGTCAACACCTGGAGTCTTTCCCTTTTACATCCTGGAGAGCAACCAAATTAAACTGTTAGCAGCAATTAGAAATAAATAGTTTTGTTTTTTTTTTTTACATTGTTATTATCCAATGAGTAAAGCCCATCCTCTCTGTATTAGAGAGTGGGGTTTGATGTGGTACCTTGTCAGTCAAAGTGATCATCAAGTTGATCAGGTTTGGCATTAATGTAGTCCACCGAATTCCTGTTTTAACTGAAAGTCCTTTAAGATCTGAGTTTACATTGCAGGAACATTTCACTTCTGTGCCAGTTTAATACTCAATGCTCTGAAATCTTGTCTCAAGTTTTGGTTTGGAATCATCATATTTGGGAATTTATTAAAAGGGCAGAGTAGCACTATGGCCCGGTTAATGGTTCCTGCTGCAGAGAGAGGGAGAAAGTGTCTCTGGTTGCTTAATTACCATTTGCTCTTTCTGAAAGGTGATGGAATGATGGAACACATCACACACAGTACATCAAGTCACAGCACGGGGGTAGGGTGGTGACAGGTCAGTGTGTTTGTGTGTGCTACTGCCATTACATGCCTTTGTTAGTGAAACAGTCCCACTAAAACCTGCCTTTTCACAGTCTCCTGTTTTTCCCCCCGAACAAGATTAGTGCACACAAACCAGTTTTATCCTTAAAAAAAATGATAATAATAAAACAGACTTAACATTATAAAACAAGCAAGGAAAAAAAGTGCATGTTGACCTTCATGGTACAAGCATCTTTTTCTTTTAAATTAAATAGTTTAATTTTTTTTGTTGTTTTGTTGTTGGTTGACACACATAGAACTCTGTCTAGGATGGACGTGTCACATGATAACAGGGGAGGGATTTGATCCAGGCTGCTTCCCTGAGTTTAATCTGAATAGTTTGAATGTTCCAAAATCCAAAATCTACTTCAGGTCTAATTTCAAACACCTTTCGAAACAATCAGGATTTTGAATGTGATATAAACTTCAGCTGCTTTCATCCAAATTCTGTAACCTGACAATGTAAACTATAGTGCAAGTTAGTTCAGATGATGAGTTTGGTCCATACTGAAAATGAGCTAAGACTCAACGTGAAGGTGAACTCTTTAATGTAAACCACATTCAGACTTGATCTGAATTCAGAGAATAGAATGTGAACAGGCAAAGAAAGAGAGGGAGAGAGAGAAGAGGTACCGAAAGGTGAAGACAAGAACCGAGTTATGGTTCTAAAACGTTTTTAATACCTCATATCATAGTTTACAAACTGCATCTCATCTTTACGATTAGAAAGGAATTGAAGAGTAGAGTAGTTCAGCTCAGCCTATATCCCGCTGGGCAGAACTCCGAGAACTTCTAGCACCCATTTGTGTTGACAGTTCGTTTTTATTGATGTTGTACAAAGAAAATCGATTCCAAACATGTAGCTTATTGAAGTTTAGTGTTGGCAAAGTGGTCAGGCTTTTGGGTATGCAGATCCTAATTAGCATTCATAGTACATCTATTCGTTCTATGTAACTCACTGCTTACATGCTACAAGTCAGATGGGAGAAGATACTAGCACATGCAGGTCTGTAGGGGTACTTACTGGATAAGTGAATGAGTACTTGGCAGTGAGAACAGCTTCTGGTTTTGAGGTATATTAAACACAGCTCGTGTTTTTCTGTTTCTCTCTCTCCTCAGTACATCCTCTCCCTGACACAGAGCCTGTCTGACTGGATCAGAGAAGCTCTCTCATGCCCCATGCTTTTAAAATGGGGGACAGCAGATACTCTAAAATGGCCGCCTCATTAACTGAACTGTTCCATACTCCTGGTTGCTGTTTCAACATTCCAAATATGTATTGGAATATGGCCAAAGTAGAGATGGCACCGAACCAATACCAGGTATCAGGCTGATATCAGTTGAAAACTAATCCAGTATTAGAGGGAGGGGGGAGGGAATGAACCTGATCCAAACCTATAACAAATCTGAAGTGGCACACGCTCACATTGTGTGATGTAATGTTGTGGTATATTTCTTCCTGTTAAGTAGTAGTGTTTGAGTAGTTTGAGAATGATGGCCTACTTTTAGATACTCTTAAGTCTTAGTAGTTTTTAAAGGGAAAAAAAAAAATTGTGAATCGGTATCAGAAGATACAGTTTCAACATCAGTATCAGAAAATAAAGTGGTATCGTGCCATCTCTAGTTCAGTCCTCCAGTCATGTGAATTCATCTGTAATCAGTTTGTACAGGATGGGTACAAAGTCTGACATTTTAAAACCTGTGAAATGAGTTAACTGAGTAAAAACTAAACAAGAGATTCACTATCAAAAGGTTGAGGTCTCTAAGTTCTGACACAAGACCAGCTCCTTCTTCTACCTCTACCCACTAAAATCTCAGTAACCAAGTAAAACACCTCAGCCAAAGTGGCAGAGTGACAGGTCTTTGTGCTTGTGATAAAGAGTTTTATTAAATACAGACAACCACTGAAGCTAAAAACATGGTAAACAAATTCTTGCTCTGTACAGATGTAGGTGAGTCCACTGTAATTGGAAGAGAATATGTACAGCTGTTCCAGTCTTTCTCTGTATGTGTTAATGCTTGTGTCTGTGTGGTTTTTCTGAGGGTGTAGTCACCCATTGGCAGGGCACATGGGAGGGCACTCGTTTAACCAGATGATAAAGGGTTTTGTCTCTCTCCACGCTAAAAGCAATGCAACACACTCCACAGCATGTTCGGCAAGCCTTGCAATGGGGTTAATGATGGACCGATTTCATTCTCCCTCACTATACCTGTTTGGGACAGTGTGCGTCTAACGAGCTCTGCCTTTTTAATTTGGTTTAATTTGGTTAATTTGGTGATAACTGATGTGTTGACTATTGAAAAAATCTTCAAGAAAAAACACTCTCCAGTACATTGCACCCTGATCTACAGTGGCAACCACTCACTCAGGTAGCGCGCTAAAGCTTGGTTGGAATATACACTTCAGCTAGTGCACGAAAGCTTGGCTAGTGTACCCTTCACCAAGTGCACTTCCACACACAAACCACTACACATTTGCAGTCTTTGTCAGTGGAACATCAGGGGAGCAGCCTCAGACCAGCATGGGTTTACACAGTGGGTTAGTATGACGTGTGTGTGTTTGTATTTGACCACTGTATGTATGTGTATTTTTCAGTGTATGTGTGTTTGTGTGTGCATGTAGTGGCTGTTTTTTCAGCTCACTCAGTCAACAGTTTAATTTCCTTCGCGAGGAGGGAGTTGATGTTGTAGGCAGGATCAGCTGCACTTGGGGCGTGGCCTATTTCGGTTAGCTCCGCCTCACTCTCACTGGAGGTGGAGCTTGTACTCATGGTGCTGACGGCGTCAGGGATGGCACAAGTAGCGACAGGTGGGCACACCTCCGGTGGGATACACACTTCGGTGGGGATGCACACCTCAGGCTCACTGCTGGTCTCGCTGGCACTGGACACCACGGACAGCAACGACATCTTGCGGTTGAGGCGACTGGGGAGGAGCGACAGGGCGTAGTCTGCCACAATGCCAGCCACATCCATCCCACAGGCCTGGTCGAAGGCAATGAACCCCACGTTGGCGTTGGCCTCACACACCACAAAGGAGCCATCATTGAGCTGCAGCAGGTCGATCCCGCACACATCCATGCCCAGGATGTTGGACACTTGCACAGCTAGCTGCTTGCCCTGTTCACTCAGAGGACACATCATGCCCACACCACCTAGAGAGAGAAGGAATACGTGTAAGACAGAGTTGAGAGTGTACCGTAATATTTTGTGGATTTAGCCTATTGTGTAACCCTAATATGATCCATATGTAGCAGTTCTAGATGTACAGTTTCAAGACATGCCATGGTTTTAAGTTTATGCCTCAAACTTACTGGTTAACCATATGAATCTGACAAGTCTGTTACTATACCCAAGAAAAAATAACTAAAACAAAACAAAAAGGCATTAAGCCACAGGCATCAAAACACAGGCCACATAGGTTTTGGTAGGGCTGTAAAATGCGACGGTTTTGCATGTATTTGTAATAAAGTTATGTACATTCTGTTATAACTGCATATGCACACACCTTGTACACAGACATGGTTAGTGAATGCATTTACTTGCACTGGCACGTAAGTGTGAGTGTGTATGAGGTTCTGCAGCTAAATATGGAATGTTTTATAGCATTGAGGTTATCTTAGCACTAAAAACAATTATACATTAATATTGGGACGTTGCCGATCTTCAGGACCAATAACCAACATTTATTGAGTGCACATCAGACATAAATATGAAAAAAGTAATGAAAAAACATTCTTTTTTTATTTGATTATCATTTATGCTTCCATTTAGTAAATGGCATAAAGCATGATCATATTTTTGTGTCTTTGGAACATAATTTGGATTTAAAAAGGTCTATGCAAACACGCTGCCAAGGGCACGTTGTTAAGGATGTCATTAAGAAGGCAGAGGCAGTGCTGCTGTAGCACTAACTACCCTAAACTGATCTAGCTGTACCAAAAAACAAGGAAAAGACTTCTGCTCTCATTTTTACATCAACAGACTAACAGGGTGGCACATCAGTCACTGAGAAAAGAAAAACTGGACGAGTTATCACCGTCTACTGAAGCCCTAATTCTAATGATAATTTGTTTATTAGTTAGTTTTAGGGAAAGGCTAGTCTGTGTTATTCAAGCTTTGTCAGACAAAGAAACCTACCATTTTAGCTTACAGTAACCTAAAGATTTCTCACAGCCATTTTTTGACTAATCCAAACAAACCCATATTACTCCATAATACCATAATATGTGTGTGTATGTGTGTGTGTGTGTGTGTGTGTGTGTGTGTGTGTGTGTGTGTGTGTGTCACTTTCTTTGCTTTCAGTAGCCTAAAATTTAAGGGTATGTAGATTTGGTTTTAAGGCAATTTGTTACTATTAAGGCCTTACATTTGTAAAACGTAATTTTAAACAAATTATAACTTTTGAAGGACCCACAGGCACCTTAGTTATGCAAGCACAAGGGCCAAGCGAGTTGAATCATGCCCTGAAGTGGCAGCTCTACAACTGCTGCTGGTTCTGGTCTGCAATTTATGCTTCTCTAAGAAACACATTGTGCCCCTGGATACTTATGTAAATTTGTACCTGTTCTGTGAGACAAGGCGTTGTGTGTGCATGTATGGGGTGGTATAATATGAGGCTACATTGCCAGATCATCAAACTAATTTCAGGCTCAACTTAAGGTAGCACTGGGCTGAGCAGCTCAAGGCTACCATAAACTGAACCAGTCAGCTCACAAGCAATTAGCTTCGTACCACACCACCCCACCCCTGATCATACCGAGGGAGCAGTTGCTTTGCATGCGTCCGTCCGTGGAGCAGCGCAGCATGGACCCAATGACCCTGCCGCCTACCAACACCACACGCACATCCCGCCCATGGCTCTCCTTCACATACTCCTGGAACAGGTACGGCGCCTCATGCCGAATCAGGTGACAAAGGTCGGCCAGGTGATGCTTGTCCCGCGCCAGGAACACCGCCTTACCTACACAGGTGACGAGACATACACGCTATTAGATTCCACACAACTGCACAGTTCTCAGATACTCTGTACTTAAGCTTCAAACGTGCAGTTTTTAGGAAACACTTGTGTGTGCGCGCACTTTGAGGACAGTGTTGGAGGTTAAAACCTCTTTAGGCTAAAGACCTTGCAGGGATACATCAATAACATTTTTTTCAGACAGAGTTCACATTCGAGTACATGTTTTTCAGTATTTCTCGATATCAATACCAATACATACTGAGCAACCTACTTAGAATTAAGTAGTTGTTAATACAAATGAGTGCAGTGCAGCGTAACAGTTAAATTCTTAAAATCTAGTGGATTTTAAATGACGTGCATTAGCAAACCATGTTACAGCAGTTATCTTGGATTGAGTAGCGTTGTGAGACTGCGTTTTGTTCCCTATCAGATAAGCACTTCATTACAGCTGTATGTCAAGTATGTTTCATAGTTTTGATCCTATGCTCATCTATCTCTTTCAACAACAGTCTCTGTAACTCAGCCACAGCAGGAATCACATCAGAGCTCAACTGTCAAAATTGTACGTCTTGTTGGAGTCTTTTTGGCTGGTTAAGCAGTAGTTGAATGTCCTCCAAAACCAGGCATCTTGTTGTTTGGACACCTCGCATTGTACATTTGAACAGACCATCGCGTACAACCAAAGCCTACGATTTACATGCTCACACTGTAAAAAATGCTCGGTTCGACTGACGTGCCATGTGAAACACAGCCTCTACAGACAGCTCTGTCTATTAACAATTTCTAATAAACCTGTTTCATTCAAAACAACACGCTGCACACACAAGTAGGACAATGCGGTCTCGCTATTTTGATGTCTGAAATGTACCTAACCACACAACTAAGCCATTCTATAGTTTTAAGACCTTTCTGGTAATATAAATCAGCTGCTGTCAAATTCAGTATGAGAAACATAATGCCATCACCTAGCGCTTAATAAGCTGGATTACTTGTTTTGGTGAAGGGTAGGTCAGGGTTGGGGGCATTTTCACATGTCAAGGTAGAATCTTACTGCTGTATTTTATTTGACAGTGAATAAGAAAGACATCTCAAAGAGTATGTGTTTGTTTGTATTATTGTGTTCTTGTTTGTGTGCAGGAGGGTGAGGTCTTTGGCATGCAAGTTTTAACCTCCAGCACTGTGAAATTCATTACATGTTCACATGCTCTGGGTTTTGTCTAAATACTGCAGTAGTACACAGTTTTTACTAACGATTTCTGAGATATGAAAAACGCTGATCACAGAAAACAACAAAGATAAACGCAGAACACCAACAGACATTTCACAAACCGTCTGACCTTAGACCAATTTTGCAGTCTTGTCTCTACTAATGAAAGAGAACATGAAGATGTTTCTCAAGGCCTGGTCACAGCACACCAAAGTAGGTTCCTTCCGGGCCACAGCTCTACAAAGAAAGCTACTTGTAGGCAATGACATTAATTCAATCCGTGAAGGCCTTACTGATTAGCTGCTGACCTCTGAAGTCTGTGGACTGGAGTTGGACACATGACCTAGTCTAAAGTTTTAGCAGGGAACTCACCCAGAGCTGACTGATGCTCTTTGAGAAGAAAGGGGATCAGTCTGGCATGCGTTTTTAGGTTGGTCTGGGTCAGGAACACCTGCTCTTCATTAACCACACTACTGATGCTGGAAGTGTATGCTGCTTATAATGGTACTCTGCTTAGCTTTTTTCCCTCCCCAGCATGCCTTGTTCTGTTCTTATCGCCCTCATCTGCGTGTGGAATGTCAGAAGTACAGCCGCTCCCAAGAAGAGTGCAGAGGTTAAATGCTACATGCTGATCTGAGAACAGGTCTCTCTCCCTGAGCCTGCTCTGAACCACTGAGAGCAAAGCAAAGTTGATCTTAATCAGTGAGGGGCTTACCTCTGTGTCCGCGAGCATTTTTCACCACAACGGGGTAACCCAATGGCTCTGCCTCATCGATCATCTTACGGAAGTTGTCATGGCCACCTGGAGGCACACACACACGTACAAGTTACCAACTCTGTAATGACTAGACTCTAATTTCCATTGAAGTGTATGTGTGAGATTACTGGGCCATTTTGGACAAGGACAGAGAGAGTGGCGTGATGAAGACAGCATTCTGCCAAACAGACTGATGATCTGCACCTCAGTGCCACCATGCCTTCACACTCACCAGCGAGTCGACTGTGAACGTGCTCAAACTCGCAGAAACGCACACCCTCTCATGATATAAGGATCATCAGTCTGAACGGCTCCAGGATTATTGATCATGTGCGATTTGTTTAATGTTTCTTATTTACTGCCAACGTGGTGTTCATCATTCAGAAAGGATACAGAGTGTCACTAATTAATGTCTATATGCTGTTATCTGTACAAATAGATATGCAGAAATGTGCACAAGTCAGAAACCATTGTTCATTTATTTAATTTCTAGTGGCCACTGAGTTCATTAAGTTATTAATTTTGAAAGATCTGAACAGATTAGATACAAGACAATTCAATTACATTAGGAAGGGAAAACATCAAAGGACAATAAGTTTATAAAAAATAAGGAGCTCCCAAAACTATAGTTAAAAAAATATTTAAAAATATCTATAGGACATCTAACAATGGTAGCAGCAAGACCTGGTAGACCACCAAAATGGTCACTATTAGATAAACAGGACTTAAAGTACTAATCTTAGAGAGACAGAAGAAAACCAGGCTCCACTCTTGCTTCTGAAAAAGTGTTTCTATCCATCACTTTGAGAAGACAATTCAATGCTATGGGCCTGAAAGGATGTGTAGATGTCAAGAAACCCTTACTGAAAACAGGAAAGAAAAAAAGAAAACTTGCAAATCAAACAAAGAAGCTGCTGGTGTTCTGAAAGCAATGGACTGGCCACACTAAAGCCCAGACCTCAATGTGATTGTGTTTGGGATTACTTGGATTGTGCGATATAGAAAATGCTACCAACTTCTATAACTGAACTGAATATGCAGAATTCTCTAAAAAACTGAAAGCAAGTTGCCGAAAAAAATGGAAGTTGGAATAAAGACAAAGTGAGGGCACATTACCTACTGAGAATTTCGTTGTTGAGGCATTTGAGTAATTTTCTGTTAGATATGTTTCTGCTTTTATCCAAGACTGAACATGAGCTTGTACTTCATGACTGTTTAGGCTGGAAATTTTATAAATAAAGGATAGTCTTTTAATTGATTCCAAAAAGCTTTATGTACGTTTGCTATTACAGATTGTTCAAGGAGAGCTGGTTACTGCACCAAATTGAATTATTACTCATAGAACAAATCAAACCACAAACCACTGAACTGTAACTGGAATTCAATCGATGCTCCTACAAGCCGCAACCCTACGTGAGGTTTCGGCCTCTGAAGCAGTGCATGATGTGGCGCTGCTACGAATGCAGAGCAGACAGATGTGTACTGGACTGCAGAGTGGAAAAAGACGAAGGAAAAAGCGAGTGATTTGTGAGGGCCACAGGGAGGAGGGAGTGAGGAGTGGAAGAAAAGTAATTATACCCATGCCTCTGTCTGCTCATCTGAGCTGAAGAGAGGGGTATTTCGCTAGCCTGCAAAGCGCAGCATCATACAGACTGCAGAGACACTGCTCAAGCTGCAGAGACTGCTAGGGTTCTCGCCCAGGCTGCAGATGCTGGTGTGGGTTTCATATGAGCTGTGGAGACTGCTGGAGTTTCTGGTGTCCTGCTCTAAGCTCTTAATACAATGCTTGCTGGTTTCTGCTTTAGTGCACCAATTGAACCCTATTTCGAGCTGTTGCAGCTTTTTCCATCCTCTACATTCTGAAAGAGAGAGAGAGACACGCAGACAGCCAGGGAAGCAAATAGCAAATGTCAGACAGTCCCACGTCACTAAAGCAGCTGCCTTTCTGTCTCTGTTTTCATTCAGATGGTCATGAGTTCTCCCTGCTCTCCCTCCAAACAGAGCCCTGTTACATAAACAGCTCATGCTCATCTGCGCATGTGTGGATGTGGACGTGTGTGTGTGCAGGATTTAGACTCTGCCAGTTAAGTTTATCTGTTGTTTGTCAGAAACGGTCCTAATGCTTTTGTGTGTTAAAAAAAATAAAAAATAAAAGCTTGATCTATTTACCAAACCCCAGTTTTTCCCCCACACATTTATAAACTATGACAATTGACAAGAATAAAGTCAACGTGAATCTGAAATCGTAACACGTATTCTTCCTACCGTGACATATTTCTAAGTGAAAAGCAGTATTAGGGAAAGTCTTTAAGAGCTTGCTGACCGCTTTCGCGTGAGGACTGGTAGGAGCAGGAGGTGAAACATTAAACAACACTTGATATTTTTCCCCACCTGCTGGTGCATGCTAACTCAATCAAAAATCAGAAGATGTTTTAAAGATGCACAGAAGACATTACATCTCGATTTAAGATTACAGAAAAACAATAATTTTGTCTTTTAAATATGATATGATAAATCATGCTTGAGCACCATGAACTGACAAGGTAAAACACTTTGAGTGGAATTGTATTTACAATTGACCTCTGTAAGCATATTTAAAACACATTTAATCATTATTACCTACAGCAGTCTTGAATTCTGGATATAATCAGGCCTGTGAGTAATCACAGTACGCTTCCACAGCATCAAGATTAAAAATGTTTTTTGCTAGGTAATCCTATCAGGTTAGAAAAGAAAGTCACTACAGCTTTGCAGTAGGCCAGAACACAAAACATCTTACAATAAACCTCATTCTTGCTGTCTGTGCATATTTTTGCTGACCAAAGCAGCTGCCCTACTTGTTTTTTCAGTTCTCCTTCCACCACTGGAGTTGCTACAACAGAAGTGGCTGTGCTGTGTTATGGGGTGCGTGGAAGGCAATGGGAAATGAAACACTAAACAATTCAGCAATACCAAATGCTAAATACTGTGCACAAATGTATAAGTATGCAAAATACATTACAAAGTAAATCACATTGTTATAGCTAGGGTAGTGCTTTTTGTTTATGAGGCTTTTGTAACTGTGAGACTGTTCTTTACGTTATGTGTAAAGAACATGATGATTACATCTATACAAATGCTCCCTTTACATTCACATCCATTAAAATTTAAGAATGTCTTTTCTTTCTCCTGTGAAGTTTCCATTCCAGAGATACCAGGTTTTGTTCTGATAGTTACAGTATGTCTATGAAAGCCCAACACTAACTACCTGGGAGTGTGTATGTCTGGGAGAATGTTTATGTCAGAGTATAATGCTAACCGTAGGAATAAGTATCAGGCAGTGGGACTCCATGTCCAGCCAGCTCCTGGAAGGTCCAGAACTTGTTGACGCAGTTAAGGATGGCCTGGGGCCGGTTGACCAGGCGGCATCCCATCTTCTCCAGGTGCCTCAGAACTGTGATGTCACTGTCGGACTGCACCCACGGAGTAGGAACACGCACCACAGCTACCTGCGGGTATGACGTCACCACCTCCTGCCCCACCCGGATCCCTGAGACAGAGAAACGAAAATGTTTAATGTTTAATACATTGCACACATTTGTAAAGCGACTTACTTGCTGTGATTTTTCTCACTTTTTCAATCTCCTACCATATTCTACATTATTAATTCATTCTTCAAACTAATTTGTTGGCCTATTGTGAGTGATGCAATTTTTCCATTCACAATAGGTACAAGACAGAGTTCTGTAGATTTTAATCCTGTATTGTATCAGTAGATCTACTGCAGCCAGACGGTACTGTGTGGAGCATTTTGGACAAGTATCTAGGCAACACCTAAGAGTTGGCTAAGCTCTACATTTGGACTACTGCCCTCCTTCTGCCACACAGACACAAACAAACACAGCCTCTTTCTCTTTCTTTGTTGCCATGCCAAATGAGCTGGCGAATCATACAGACAGGCAACATCTCTGTAATACTGAGTTTCTGACATCTTTGGTCTCCTCCAGAGCTGTTATACAACACCACAGAAGCATCTCGCTCACTGTTTCTCTGCACTGACCCACTAACCCAGATCCTTCTGCTCTGTTTTTAATGCTTTAATTACCATCTCTGCTGTATTAAATACCTCATATTCACCATCAACTTGCCTTAATTACTTACACATGCACTAATGCACAGAATTATAGTCTAGTCAAGATCTACTCTGTAGCTCACACATGCAATGTATTAAATCTCATTGTCTTGTTTGCTGTCATTTCAGAGTGAATTAAATCAGAAAATAGGAAAGCGTGTTGTTAAATGAAGTGATGCTGACAAAGCAGTTTTGTAAATATAAGGATACTGAGTTGCTGATTCCTCTCATTGAAAATGCCGCCTACATACACACAAATCCTGTTACTGAGGCTCATGTAGGTGATGCCAAATGTTACTGAGAATGGAAGAAGAAAGCTGAAGCAGAAGAAAGTGTATGTGCATGCCTGCTATAAAAACCGAGTGCAATGTATACTCGAAGAGAGAGTGAGGGAGACAGAGAGAGCATCTGTGTGACCACCTGCTTTCTGCTTCACCATCTTAGGAGGGAGTGGCACACATAAACAACAGCAGATATTACCCTGCAACTCTGTGCAAGTGGCTAGGACAGGATTAGTTATTTAGTGATTGGTTCTACAGGGAGGCGAGGTAATGCCAGTTTACCACAGTTCTCATGGGATATGAAGAGATGGGAGTGGTTGCTCCATTTACAAAAACACTGTCTTTAGCTTGAGATTTACAGCCAACAGTCAATATTAAAATCTTCTTTCTGTCATTCTACATGTTTTAATATTGAGAGTCACACACCTGAGGCAGGACAACACATATCGGCTTGATTTGGGCCAATACTAGCAAATGCTTCTTCAAGTGCCTCCACACAAATCCTTTTCCACAGGATATGATCGATTATTTACCAACGTGTTGACTGACACGGGAGCACACAGTCTATAATAATGACTGAAATGATTCCGACGGGTCAAAATACTGAGAACTGCCATTAAAAATGACCACACCATGTTAAACTAATCCCATCTGAAGAGCACTCTAGTGTCATAAACGTACATTATCAATTTTTCAGCCTCCTATACTAGTTTCCAAACTGTCATATGGTTATAGGCTTGGCACCTCTTTACTTGCAAAGATGTAAGCTAAAGAATTTTTGTACCTTACCTTTTGTTTCAGAGGTTTAAAAAGGTGGCTGTCATCAACTCATCAATTTATTTCATACTTCTCTAAAATCCTTTGCATGATACTTAGGATGATCTATCGATTTCAATTTTAAATGGCCAACTGTCAGCGATCCTGGAATTTTAGACACATAATGGGCATAATGTTTTTGCATGTACATGTAATCAGACTTACACAGCACGGTATTGGTTTCAGAGCGTTCTATTCTACTTAATAACAGTTCTGACAGACATTGCTGTTTATCTTTCTAGCACAAAGCGTCGTCTGCACGCACGCGCATGTTCCTGCTTCTGATGCAACCCTGCTGGCAGACGCTCAGATTTGAACTCACAGTGCCGGACATAAAGAATACACACGTTGTGCGCACGTGCAGATCTGTGTTTTCACTGCTCAGCAATACAAGTAGAGTTAAATCAGTCACGAGTTCTCTGCAGTTCAGAAAGAATTAGGCACATTCAGATGGTAAAATCATCTGCGGCCACATCACCCACCCCCCTACCCCTTCTTTCTCTCACTCTCCCTCTCTCTCCAGCTTCCCTCCCCCTCCACCACCACCAATCCCCTGAGGATTTCCTTTCTGCAGCAGCTGTTGCTTTATGGTTTATGCTTAGCTATTTCGGCCGTGTTAAAAGTTCACATTTTTTAAACGTTTAAAGATGATGCTTATTGAACATATATGTATGTATACATCCACTTACACCCCCCTCCCCACACACATGCATTCGCATAATTCATGCCAAAACCTGCACCAAGCCAGTAAAAAATTTCCCCTGAAGAAAAAGAAAAACACATTGTCTGCCACGTGTACAAGCACTGCTTTTGCAAAAATAGCTTACAATGGTGTGTCCTGTGTAACATGGTTAAATGAATACAGACACACCTGTATGATCTTTGAGTTAATAATATTTACTGACCTTAGAGCTTAAGATAGTGTGAGTGTCTGTCTCAAGTATTACTTGGAAATGACATATTGGTATCGATGGGTTTTTAATATCAAAACGCTGGATTGGCTATTGGAGGGGAAAAAAGAATGTAATCCTGCAATAAATCTATCCTGAATCATCACACACTCACACTAAACTGAAGCTTACCTTATTCTAGACATATTTTATAAGAAGAAACAAATCACTGGAAAAAACAATTATGGTTGGAACAGTTGAAGGCAAAAGAGGAAGAGAATGGCCAGCGAGACTGATGAAAATCTGAGGAATCATTAAAAAGCCATTAAGAAGACTAAAGATCCAAACAAGAGAAATACTATAAGTACAGTCACCAGGAGTTAAAACTGGCTTGTCAGCACTAATAATAATAATAATAATAATAATAATAATAAAATAAATTGTTGTGGGTTTGTATTTTTTCCCTGTGATGTACTAGTACTTAAGTACTGTGAACATCATAGCCTACTTTTAGATGATCATCTCAAATGAAGTGTTTCAAAAAGGTATCAGCTCATTTTAAAGCTTAATGATTTTTTTTTAAATTACATCATGAGTAGCAGCCAATACTTAAGGTTTTAATATCAGAAAAGGAAAATTTAGCACTGTGTCATCTCTAATGCAAAGCAACAAATTCATTCTGAATGTGCTTGTATGAGTTTGGGTGTGTATGTGTAGATGAGTAAATATTCAATGAGTCATTTTATAAAGCAGGATTTCCCAGTTACCCAGATCACTTGAGCCAAAATTTTAACCCAATCGAAGGGGAGCTAAGGAACACATGGATTTTGTACCTGGCTTGAGCGTATTTAATCGATGTAAACCTTTACTTTATATGGAGGTTACTTGAAGGTTTTTCAGAATCACATACACTCATACATTTACAAAAAAGGTTCCTTTTAGAACCATCCAGAGAGGTGAACCAAAAGTGGTTCTTCTTCTGCGCCATAAAATCTATGACATCGCTTCAAAGAACCCTTTTGGCACCTTTATTTTTAAGAGTAAGTGATCCAGCTTTAACAAGAAATCCTCATTTGTGGAACACCTCCAGGACTCACTCTGAGTTTACTAACAGAGAACCTGGTAAACACACTGACGTGTGTGCTCTGACTGAGGTTCTAAGCCCATGATTACATGTGAGAGGAAGTATTAAACTCATGACTATGGTAGCATCTTCTGACTCTGGCTTTGTGCACCCAATCCAGCAGCAACAGCAAAATAGTGTCACATTTCTCATCCTCTGGAGGAATGGCCAACACTGCCATACTGCAGTCCACTCATGATGCGCCACTCACTCTCTTCCAGATACACACACGCGCGCTCACACACACACACACACACACACTCCACCTCCTCACATCTACACCACAGGATATGAAATTCCCACAGTCACAAGTCTCAAATGCATGGCGATCGGTGTATGTGGCTTCACAGCACGTTCTCTGTCCCACAAACAAACACTGCTTGGTTACAAAGAGGCCTGCAGTAGGGATGCACAATGATACCCGAATCATATCGGCATCAGCGGATATCTGCTGAAAACAATATCAGCATCAGACAGATCTGATATATTAAAATCAATATTTGAGGATATATTTATTGTACTCCAGATCAGAATGTTTCGGCTAAAATATCTGCATTTTATTTACTGTACTGCACTTGTAACCTTAAAGACATACAGGTTACATTTCTGCGTAATACTAATCCAGGTAGAAAATGTGAGTCGATCTACATTATATAAATGTGTACTGGCATCATTATCAGCGTCAGAAGATACATATTTGGAAAAATACTGGATACTGGCATCGGCTCACAGTTCCCATACCTCTGGATCCCTAGCCTACAGACTTGATTTGGGTTTGAGCCACAGCTGTGCTCTGTTCACAGACAAGGAAGGGCAATCGTCTTCCTCTTTGGTCATGCAACGTTAAGCAAAAGTCAAATCGCTAAATTTAGTTTATAAAAAGTTCAAAACACATGACTAGCCACATTAAAGCTGTTGTAAAATACTCTGCATATGTATCCATCATACAGTTCAGTTATGCAAAATGTTATTTAAAAAAAATATATTATGTTCATTACCTTACATACCATCTTTGTGCTCATGAAATAATTTGTGACTATTATGTTACTTGCCAACCGAAACCAACTGTTACAAACTGCACTGCTTGGTGGAAGAACTGGTTATTAAACTAATGTCTGAAGACTGTGCATGTTATCACATTACACTGGTCATTGTTTCTAAATGCTGTAAGCCATTTAAGGCTTTGTATTACAGTGACTATAACACAGCTAATGTAGCTTTAGGAATTTTGCTTTGATTTTAATCTGAGTTTCCATTTTTAGACAAAACATGAATTCATTATGTAATTTTGGCCTTAATATCTGACCTTGCTAACGTCAGAACCAGCACTTCAAATGTATGTCATGTATTGATGACGTAAAGTAGGTGGATGTTTATCCACCAGAGATTGTAAATCCCAGAGCTGACCAACTGTCCACTGGCCTAATCTCACAGAATACTGCCCACAGACCTAATCTGACCACCCCAGGAACCAGGCCAGAAGATTACCCTCAAAAACTCGCACACTTGGTGACACACCTCCTCCAGGTGACGTGTTGTTGCGCTCTCTCGGCGGCTCTTTACCCTGAATTCATGTCTGGGCAAATATAATTTGTTAACCAAAAACAAATGGCAAAGTGCCTCTACTCTGAGAGGTGTGATACAGAGTTCAGATGATAGAATCATCCGAAAATCGAGGGTACACTTTAAGAGCTGCAACAAGCACGTGCTACTGCAGCCAGAACAGGAACTGAGTCAGATGTACATCAAATCAGGGACACGCTGTCTCAACAATGAAAGAAACATACTTACACTCTTTCCTAAGGCTGGGTCAACCTATTCATATACCACACAGCACCGTAATATGTTTAAAAATGCAGGGCTCCTGTTTAGTACATTGAACAAAATACACAGCATAAATACGATTTATTTGTGATCATAATTAATAATTATTAAATTCACTAACTGTAAATAATTCTATATATCTGGGAATAAAGCTGACAAAGTTGCGGCGAAGCACAAAACTATTACTCCAACAAACCTTTTGTAATTCTAATGTGATACATAAATGCCTCCTTGTGCACTAATGAAAAATGTCAATCAATAACTAACAACCCAGCCCTACCCAATGATTCTCCTACTGCAGCTGTTCAGATGTACAGATGCTGCACTTCTCCTTGAGCCTGCTAAATCTCACTCTTTCTGACTCATCACTCCCTTTCTCTGGTGACAAATCAAACCAGGTATTTGTCATATCAAAAGCTTTTCCACTGTCTGCTTTCTGTAACAACAACAAATGAATAAGTCATGATGTTTGCAATGCCATGTTACAGTTATTAAGAAAGACAATGCATTGTGAAGAACCGGCCTTCTACCCTCAGCCATTGAACCCGGCCATTCACGCTCACCATCTCCATTTGTCCACTATGTCATACTCCCCGGTCTCTATGCGGAAACTAAACTGCAAAAACTGCCCATTTTGAAAGTATTGTTTTTGTGATGTCACAAAAAACAACACATTCACATATCTCTGCATATTCAGCCTACAGCAGTTTAGCCCCGCCCATTCATGCTGAAGTTACAAGGAATGTTTCAGCCCAGATTGCTTTTTGTATAAGCCAAAATACAGGACAGCCAATCAGAGCAGAGGTAATTTACATCAAAAACAAAATACTAAATGAAAAAATGTTGTAGAATATGGACCCTTTAAATGTGTATACATAACATGACCGATGAAATATTTTGGTTTCATTCATAATTTATTAGACCAACCTAGTGGTGAGGTTACACCTGTCAAACCAGTAAACATCAAAGAGTAATAATAGCCAGACACATAAAATCTGTCCTTATCGTTTGCAACTGTCTAATTCTACAAAATTCATGAATTTTAAAAAAAAGAAAAGCGCCAAAATGGTCTTTCCTTTAGGTCCTTTAAAGCGTTTTACAAAGGAACCAGCCTTAACTGGTTGCCTCAAACTACAACTAAAGCAAAGATTTCTGAAATAGTTGGAAACAGACATGTTTTTCCCTCCCCTAAACCGTGTAATTTACAGCCTGTGGGGGTCTTCAGACTGACCCCTAATGGCGCGCCATCGCCGCTTGCGCCTCTGCTGCTTTTCTCTCCGGCTGCGTCCAAATCCACATACAACAATCCTGCACATACTACACTAAAAAATGCGCTAGTGATGCTGGTGCACTATTTTAGCACACTATTTAGTATGGTAGCTAGTATACGTGGTTTTGGACGCAGCCTTGGTGTGCCAGATACTCGTGACCGTAGCTACATGCTGTAACGTTACGAATGAATAGTTATCATTTCATTTGGCTCGCAAATCCGAAACAGACTTTAAACCGCCTCGTCTGTTATCCACACTTTATTTTCCCGCATTTAAAGACAAAATGGTCGCCTCCTCCAGCATCCCTGCGGCTATGCGAGGCTGACTGGAAACTGGGTTAGGCGGTCACTGTCACAAAGCTTAGCATGAACTAGCCAGCCAGGCTAACTGCATCATCACAGGCACAATGAGCTTCCATTCAAAACAAATCACACCAGCACATGCCGTAACTTACCGTTCAGTTGTTAGTTAACTAGTTACATAGATGGATAGATATTTATGTGGAAGCTTTATACCACGCCTATTAGGACAAGGCCATGTTAAATTAACCATTTTAAACCAAAATTATGCGCATAAGAGTGAAACAAATGTAACGCTAACATATTGTCGTTGTGTTTACCTAGCTGTCCATTGGTGATCGTTATGACAATCTCATCCATTAACAGATAACGGAACTCAACGTCGTCCTCCGCACATCGCTCCTTCAGAGCCCGCAGGATCTGAACTTGAGGATACTCCTGGCTGATGCGCCGATCGGTCACAAACCACACCCGGGAGCACATGTTTAATATCGAACTAAAACGGATTCAGCTGCAAAACAAATACGATTAAAAGCGTTAAAAGTGCTCCAATCAAGAGGCGCCGACGATTCGCGGGAGCGCGGGATCCGAGATCGGGGAGTGACGGGAGAATAAAGCCGGTGCCAAAACAAAACAATGGGATGCAGCAGCTGCGGCGCTTCAGGCTAACTGCGTTAGCTGGACCGGTCAAGCCACGCTTTCACTTATTTTCCTTCGCCGACTGCCAGTTTCTCCCGTTTCACCCGATCCAGGACCCCCGCTGGATAACGACTAATACGGCCAACGTAAAAGTCTGAGGTAAAAAAAACGAAATTGAGTGAATTTCGTTAAAAAAGGCGCGAGCTGTTGTGCCCTGCTCTGAAGCTATCGGCCGATAGCCCCCAACGAGGGCAAGAGCTGAACGCCCCTTCCACAAAGCGAAAACAAAAGCCTCGCTGCTGCAGAGCACCCGCACGCTACCGGTATGGCCGAAAAAACTCAACAAAATGGTGGAGCAGTGATGGAGAGAAGGCGGTTCGTCGGGGCTCTCTCGCCTCACTCGAGGAGCGATGCTCTCGCGCTGCCGAGCGAAACTCTCGCGATCCACGACTCACAGTGCTGAACGGCTCGGTAAATCTGCACGCTTATTTTCAACCCCGCGATTTTCCTCTAGCACGCGCTTAGTTTACAACTCTGGCTCCACAAACACAAAAAAAAAGAATCTCCGCCAATGAGAATCGGGCATTTACTCCTCTGCCGACCAATAGCGACAGCGTCTCTGCAGCCTCTGCAGCGCTCCGGCCAATCAGAGCAGAGAACGCGCGGAGGCTCGCGTGGCTAAGGCAGCCAATGAGCCAATGGCGCGCGCCGCCGTTATTTTTTTTGGCGCGTGATGAGAGAGGGGGCGTCGTCGGGAGCGCGCGTTCTTCCCCCGAACCGGTTCAGACCGGGTTTGGGCGGGTTTTGGGGGCTCACTTTGTGCTGCTGAAGTCTACTGAAGTGACAGGACTTTAAATAAACAAGCACAAATTCATAGCATCACTGCGATAACGCGGCTCTCTCAGTGTTTTACCGTGTCTGCTGTTTCACTTCTCTGCTCTTCATTGCTGAATTCTGTGGGTCTGTGATGCTGTGATACATTTACTGCTTTTGTGTCTTGTGCTATTGTTCTGTTCACATGGTGTCTTGTTTGTAACTTTATTCCACCTGGATTGCTGTGTGATCTTTTGGGTTTGAGAAATGTAAATATAATTGATCATCATCATCATCATCTATTTTATTATTATTAAAGCGGTTTTTTGTGGAGGGTGCGATTTAGAAAGAGAAATATAGAGCATTCTAACAACTTTAGAAAGTCATGAAGGGCTGAAATCCTCTAAGGTCTGTCATTTAGACATGTAAGGTAGAAATATATGGGAAGACATATATGCGGAACCCATGTGACCTTCGTGGGAAACACAGAGGTAACGTTACGATAAAAATGACCCAGCTTTTGCATTGTTTATACCGTGCGTGTGTGCGTGCGTGTGCGCGCGCTGCGGGAGTGGGTGGGTGGGGGTTGGGTTTTTTTCATGATGTCACATTTGACCAATAGCCAACCGGAATGGACTGGTCTTTTCTTAAGGTTACGTTACCTCAGTAACACTGAAAAGAGGAACAGCTTCTGATTTAATCTGGACTCTCAACAATGAAGGCGTTAAAAGTAGGCTAATGAACTGACTAGACTGACGTGCCAAAACATGTCCTACCGAAAAAATCTCTAAGTATAATTTGTTTGTATAATTAAGAAAACAATTATTTCTACATGTATAGTTTGTGTTCGAAGACTTCCTAATTCCAGAGCTGTATGGCCTTCTACTTGACCTAAAATGCACTATTTTGGATGTATAAGTCATTACGTCATGATCTACATCGTGCACTACATAAAGGTCAGGGAGCCTAATATGAGATCCAGCCAGGCCGACTGCGTTTTGGAATCCATATTAAATGCACATTTCCTCAAGCTTCAGTTGCTCTACGGTTCACTGGCACCGCCTCTTCACTGACAGAACACATCAATCAAATTACCGTGCCAGATCTCTCATCCAATCAGCGCGCCTAACGTCACGGACTGGGCGGGGCACCATTAGATTCGCATTCCAGAGTTTTCTTTTTAAAACCATTAGAACTAAAATGCAGGTAGTTTAAAATAAAGCTATGTATTATTTTTCCATGAACAAAAGACATAAGAAAAACATAAAGACGTAAAGATGCGTTGTGGGCCCAAATCAGGAGGCACTAGACACATACATTTAGGAATATAGTCTCTAGTCTGCAGAGATGACTTGCATACAAAGGAGGCTTGGTTATCGGTTAATGTACTGAACTGTACATTCAGCTGTAAGGAGTCTATAGGCTGTAGGCTCAGCGCACGAAATGATTATAATTAGCTGGATAAAATATAACGTAGTTATCTTTAAGACAAAATTGAACGTCAGTATTCAGTAGTTAACTCAGACTTACGTGCCACATTAAACATTAAAGGCGTTAAATCAGACTAAAGAAAGACGGAGCAAGGCTTGTTCTAGAAAAAAAAAGGAGTGATGAAAGTGGTTATGGTGTTAAATCTGGTACGTTCTCTCACATTCGTTCACAGCTGGGTTTGATAAGGAGACACTGCCACCTGCTGGAGGTTCAACAACACGCCTGATTGCGTCATCCAGACACGAGGTGATTCAAACCTCACCAGCTTCAAACAACGGCTTTACTTGAATATCATGTTGTAAACGTTGGTATGTTTTAGATTACATTGTTAAACGACGTTTTTGTTCCAAACTAAGTATTTTTTTTCTTTGGGCTAAATCTGAAAACAATGGTATCGTTGTGGTGGATAACTTGCTGCCACGTTACCATCTGCCATAGCATCATAACTGACCGCCACAGCAGGAAAACACTGCTTAGTGCTCCTCATGCGTTTGGGCAACACTGAAGTAAGATCAGTCGAACACGAAATGAAGCTGCAGTCTCACAGAAAGTGGAGAAAACCGGATTGGTCAGGTCTCTCTAACAATACAGCGGCTGTATACTGCCACCTGCTGTGAACAAGATGGATGACATGTGGGGAGGGTGGAGGGGGGGGGTTATACGAAGTATAACAGAAGTATCACAAGCACACTAATCAATTGTTAAAGTGTGATTATGAAGTCTAAAACATTTTAATAGAAAGTTTAACTACTACTAAACAATGCATTACTGAAAAGACACCAGAGCCATCTGAAGTACACGTAAGACATTTGTGTGGTTTTATGTATCAAAACCAGTCATGATTAGTTATATAACCATTTCCAGTCTCCTAATTCCTCACTGGTAAAGTTCCTTTTAGGCTGATACATGTAAATGACTGTCTCTCTTCTGAATGGCTACCTACTGTAGTCTGAATAGGCAGATATATGTAAATGTGGTGGGGGTTTTTGTGACATCACAAAACAATGAATCCAAAATAGGCTACTTTAGTTTCCATATGAACTAAGGAGTAAATGGTACATTTGAAAGCCTTTACATTGTTTACACACTCCATCAAACTCAAACTTTTATGACAAAAAAGTGAGGAGCTCTCAGCTTTCCTTTAACCCTTTATGGGTCCTTTAACATTAACACACTATATGGACAGGCTCTGGTCACCATCCGCATTTATCACAGAGCAGTTTATTCCAACAAACATAACAGCATTTCAAAAGTTGCACAGAGGCTCAAACATAGACATGTTTTGGATGTTAACGTCACAGTTTTCCACAGACACATTTCATGTAAATTAGGATTCTAAATCCGTTTTTTGTTCACAGCTTTTCCTTCAGGCCCAGTGCATGAAATCCATGGTTTCAGGCCAGTAGTTTGACAGATAAGAAAGAGAAGACATTTAAAATTCATGGTTTGTGCTGACTGACAAGGTGCAGTTCTTTAAATTAAAACCAGGCAGTCTAACATTAAAGCATATTCTCTGTAAACTATATCCAGTGATTTCCTCTGCAGGTGAGCAGCCGAGTCTCGGTCCCCTCACCGACTGATACTGATATTAATAATCAGTATATTTGACATAATTTGACTTTACTGTAATTTACAAAAAGCAACTTCAGCTTAGTTTGTCAAATAATCAACAGGGTTTGGTAACAGCCATTGTTATATTATCAATCACACTATTAACATATTCTAGTCAACCCTTATCACTGTTCAGTTACCCGTCATAACCCACTGTAATTTCTCAACACTACACAATTAAACCGCTGGTTTCAAATGAGCTTAAAAGGAAAACTCTCGCAGAGTTTATTCGGCTGTTTGTTGCACACAGATTTAACCTTAGAACTGGGCTACAGAGCATTTCAATTAAAAAAGAAACACTGTTAATAGAGTGATTTAGACTTAATCTATTTCCAGAAGCATCACTTTCGAGTCCATTTTCGAGTCAATACCCTGATCATCTAAAACTAGTCCTTGACCATCAAAGCAAAAATAACTTAAAGTAGATGCAATTTGTCCTAGCAAAGGTTCTAAGCATCCTTGGCAGAACATTTAAGGCTTTTCTTACATGATGTTTCCAAAGAGTTCTAATCATAGTTCACAAAACTCTGAACATTTGTTATTTGCTCAAAAAATGAAGAACATCTCCAATTAAAACAATCAGTGCCTTTTTTGAGCAATAATAATTACACATTTAAAAGCCATATTTGGTACTTAATAACAAAATCTACTTCCATTTTAATGGGTATATATAGTAAACGTAAATAAAAGAATAATTTGTGTTCGTACTTTGAACAGGCAGTAGAAACTGGCCTTTTGTCTCAGAACAGACTTTCCTGTATCAGATGCCTCCTGTTTACAATATTTACCCAGATTTTGATGCAGTAGCTTAAGTGGCATGCTAACACAGTATTGCTCACGCTTTCTTTTTCATTGAGACCACAGCATGCATTAACCCGAACCCATTAGGAGAGCAGACTGCATATCTACAGCCACCACACTTACTTATATGAAAACGAACATAGGTTACAGCATATTAATAAACAACTGAACTAAGAGACATTGATGAATGAATGAGAAATATAACTATATATAATATCTTCATATATATATGATTTCTTCTGACTGATATTACACCTTAACATTAATAAACAACTGAAACTGCTCACTAATAGTCTAGTATTGCAACTAGTCTGATAAGAGATAGATCTATAAAGTGCATGGGACTTTGAAACATCTGAGGACTGTCCAGGGCTGATATACATCATAACTGACATTACAGGGGTGGGGGGTTAGGATTAGTATAGACAGGAGATTACAGATGAATAACATTTCTCAGACATGCTTTATGAACATCTGCTGGGGGACTAATTCATGTAGAAGAGGAAATCCATGTCCAAAGATGCTAATGTTGATAATAAAGAGTATAAGCATACAGGGATCAGTTACTATTTTGTCAATGACATCATAAGACTTTATGCCTCTCAGTTCATTCACTGCTATTTAGCATTCTGGGGGAAATTATAAGTAAACTGTGTACTTGTTCTGATGTACTATGTTCTGATCAACTAACAACTGTTCATTCATATGTTTATGGGTGAAACAGGCAGCTACAGAAGTGATGTGTTACATTAGGTGCTGGTTTCCCAGACTTGGATTAAACCTAGACTTGGACTGCAGTGACAATGGTAAATTGAAACTTTTTTTAAAGTCTGTTTAGGTTTAATCTAGGTCCCGGAAACTGGCCTTAGATGCATCAATGTATTCTTAATCTCAGATTATTTTGGGAACACCTCATTATGCAAATATCTTGGCATCACACAAACCTCGGAAAGAGGTTTAGTGAACGTTTCCCAATCTTGAATTTGTCTCAAAAGTATGCACATGAAATCATGATAGTTTATGCCTTAGCCAGCTGACGTTCAGTAGCTTACTATCAAGGGTGCAACAGAACTAATGTGTTACATTACATGTATTAGATGCATCGGTGCATTTTACCACTTGCTTTAAAGAATTTGTAAAATCAAATCAAACTATTTGGGGACATTTCATTACACAAAGAGTGTAACAATGCTCAAACCTTGGAAAGAGGTTTATAAACTGTTTATCAGCTTCAAACACACTGCACTGCTCATTTCAGTGTTTTCACTACTCTAGCACACCAACTTTAGACTCGTGAAGGTTAGTGATGGTAGAAACGAGCAAAACTATCTTGGGAGTTTTTGGAACTGTTGAGTTCAGAACAGAGGTTTCGATGTAGTTTCAAATACACATTTTCTGCATCATCACGTACTGGATTCCGTTTTTTTACGTCCTTTCTATTTATGCATGCTACAATACTATTTACATGTGTCCTATGTTTGTGTATAAACTGACCAAGCGCTGGAATTAAAAGACAAAAATTAAAGTGTTTGGTGTTTGAAAGCAAGGGCCTGATATTCAGTCAGACTTTTTTGGCATTGTGAGCCTTTTTGGTCTCAAACCTACTGAGGTTTCACTTTTTTAGAATTAATTCTCAGGAGCATCTCAATGACGTGAACAGACTAAGCTTTTTACGCCTCTATAAATCCACAAAACAAACTTATAAAGGGTCCAATTCTGTGCACAGACGTCAGTATGTCATGTCCAGAAGTGAAACTGAGCATTTTGCTTTCAACCGAGCTGTCAGTTCACACTACATATATAAGCATTCCTGATGACAGGACACATTCGAAACCTGGATTTTGAAACTTCCAATCAGTCTGGAGCAATTGATTGATTGATTTTTTTCTTTTTGCTTAAACATTTCAAATAACTCAGAATGAGCATTACTAATCAAGGCCACATTAAGCTGGTGAGCTGAATTTGATGTGTTGTGACCAAGAAAAAAACTAAAATGTGCAGTGCAGGAGCAACAATGAGCAACGCTGCCTCTGAACTTGAATTATTCATGTTCTAAGGCAGAGTATGTTATGGAAGCCTTTGTTGAAATCCCAAGTTTTACGCATTTCCATTCCAGTTATAAGACACAATTTTAAAGTTTTCATAAATAAATAAGAACCCTGGGCACTCAGCTATGTGCAACATAGTACAGGTCAGTACACAGTGAACAAACAAATGCACAATCTTTTTACATTCTGTCTCCTTACAACATTAGAGTTTCCAGTTAAAAAGTTCATATCGCTTTCAGTGGAATATATTTACAATTAAAAATGTAACCTTTGCGATTAAAATCAAGAGCTTTGTCATTAATACCTTTTTGTCCATCTTCATAAAGATGTATTTTGGCTATTTCTTTGACTCTATAACTGCTGGAAATGCAGGGATGTTCTGACCGTCTGTCTGGACTGGGTGTTTGGCTAGATTAATTGTGTTTGCCTTTCTGTTGGTTGCATTGGCCGCTGTGCTGACCGTGGTATTAACTTGCTGTAGACTGCGAGTAACTGGCCTTTCCGTCCTTTCTCTCACTCTCTGAGAGAACTGTTCCTCTGTTCTGGGCTGAAGCTTTACATCTGCCTCTCTCTGTTTCATTTCTCTTCCCATGATCTGCACCCTGTTGCTGGGCTGCTGAGATTTCCCTTGCATTGCAGACTTATTCAAGATCAATGGTGACTGAATGCCTTCCATAAGAATGGGTTTACTTTTTTTACTGATGTGAACTGCTGAGGTTGACAGAACGTCAGATCTTTTAGGCCTAAAATTATGCAAAGTAATCTTCCCTTTGCCATCATGAAGCGGAAGACTGGCATTGTTGGCTGAACCAGACTCATTGGTCTGCGTCTTTTTAAAGATCTTTTGTCCTTGGTTTGACCTTCGTTGTTTCAGTATAACTTCTGCTACTTGGGTGCGGATGCTACCATTGTTCTCCTGCGCTGGTGCCATGCAGCCTTTTCTTTTTTTGAGCTTCTTGCTGACAGGCTTCATGGGGCAGCTGACAGCCATATGTTTCTTCAGGCTGGCGTGGTAAGTGAACTCCTTGCTACAGTGAGGACAAGCATAAACCTCCAGCTCCTCTTGTGAGCCTTTCCTTCCCACAGGCCTACTTCTATGGACCCACACAGATTTCTTCTTACCGTGCGTGTTTAGCTTCACCTTAGCTGCTGGCTCATGGTAGTTTAGCTTTTTTGGCTGGCCAACCTTTTGAGACACATTCTGTCTACTGTTGACTCCTCTAGCTGGCGACAGAACCCCGTTTTGCGCTTTTGCGAATTGCTTGAGTGGGATAGGGTTCTTTTTTGGAGTGTAGCGTTTTTTGTCGCTAGCATTAGCACAAGCTAAAATGTGCTTGTGCAGTTCAGGCATGTTGTCAAAGCTCTTCCCACACTTGGTGCACCGAATAGCGGTGCTAAAGGTCTGAGGGATATTATGAGTAGTGAAATTTGTAGCTGTGGCATTTGTCGTTCCGGCTGGCGTTCGGTTGTGGTACAGAAATGGAGGCGGCTTAAAACTCGGATAATGCTGGTTAATACCGAGGCGTACGTCGGTGCCTTTAGGTTTGACCCCTTCAGATGCCATGATCTTGATGGTTGTGTATAACTCCTCAGTAGTGTTGTCAGAGTCATTGTCATCCTCTGTTTTTATGGCTGGTTTGTAAAACTGGTGACTTTTGTCTTTTGTAGAGAACACTGGGGTTACAGAGTCAGAGCTTACCGGACTATTGTGGTTTTCAGGCCTTAACTTACCATTTTCTACTTCCATGTGTGAGCACTCTTGACCAGGATGTACATCTCGATGATGCTGTTCTAGGTTGCAAAGGAAAGCGAACTCTTTGGAACATATTCTGCAGACGTAGATTTTACCGATCCCATGATAACTGGACCGGTGTTCTAATAAGCCAGTGTCACTCTCAAACAACTGCACACAAAACTCACACTTATATGGCCAAGTGTCTGAGTGCTCACCAATGTGCTGACTAAGAGCTTTCATTGACTTGAAGGGCTCATCACAAACATTACACATAAAGCGCTTGCAAAGAGGAGGCAGGTGTGATGGTTCCTCACTTGCAGGGTTGTCCTCTGTGGAGGTGTCTGGTGGTTCCATTGTAAATTTAACAGAGCAGTTTGAAGTATCTGCAGGCTTCACTTGGGTCTCTGCTTGTCCAAGAATACTGGGAGTAGGAGACTGCGGTGCTGTAATAACTGGATTCTCTAATGAGCCTGCAGTTGTGGATGCGTGCAAGGCCGTTCCTTGAGCAAAGGGATCAAGACAGCCAGCCTGTGGCAGTTCAGGAGCTGATGGCTCACTGGTAGTAGCCAGTGGTTGTGGTGAGAAATGGCACTCTCTTGGCTCAGTGTGATCTGGTGGAGTTTGGTCAGAAACAGAGTGGACAGAATTAGCTTGAAAGAAGGGCACAGCCTCAGAAGACTCCAGTGCAAGTGTGTACTCAATGACAACCACATTTGAAGGAAAACTCAAAGATGTAATATTTGGCTGGTTTACTGATAGGGAAGGAGGAAATATTTGTGCTTCAGGTGACAAGACGGAATCCACAACCAAGGTCCTTTGTGCTAGATCACAAACCGATGGATCTGTGAGAAACTGAGGACTTTGCAAACTTAGAGGTGCTGCTGTAGGGATGAGTGCATGGGCTACACCTCCAGATGCAGAACTAAGCCAGTTGGGAAGTGATACATTAAAAGCTGGCAGGGAATTTTCAGCAGCGACTTCTACAGTAGTTGTGGGTACTATAGGAATGAAAGACTGGGCAGTAGAGCAGAGTGGGAGAAGTTCCTGATTAGGTATGGGTATTGGTGATGATGGTAGTACCTCAGTGGGCACTGCAGCAGATGGGGCTGGAACTGAGAGGAGCTGAGCTGGAGGAGCAGTGTTCAAAACAGCAGGATTTAGTGGATGAGGAGCTGTTTTCGCTGCAGACGGAGAGGGCAGAGACAACTCAAACACAACCCCTTCAGGATTAGCTTGAATTGGCTCAGACACAGCCATTACCGCGAGATCTGTTACTACGGGAGTACTTAGGATTCCTGCATCTGCTGGTGCTGGAACGTCTACACCAGCGTACTGGTTTAGCAAGACTTTCTCTAACATGCTTGAGTTGGGTTTAATCCTCCTAACTGGTGTCAAGGAGGCTGATCCTCCTGTTGAGTCGGCCTCTGCACTCTTTCTGCTTGTGCTCAAATCCAGAATGCACTCATCTAAGACCTCACTGCTCTTCTTACCCACAGCATTGGAAAGGTCTAGTGGCTGCTGGTTACATGACCTCCCTCCAGTGCCTGGTGTAGAGCAGTCCAGTGGCAAAACCTGCTGAATGGCAGTAGTGTCATTTGTGGCTGGAGTCAAAGTTTCCATTTCATCTTTTTTAGATGAGCTTATCACAGGAGACCTGCAGTGACCCTCCATCTTTGGCATCTTAGAGGCAGGCAAAACCTCATCCTGTGCCGTAGCAGTTGTCACCTCAGAAGTATTGCTTGGCTGGGGCGAGTTGGGAGGGGATGTTGTCCTTCTCTTAAACCGGCTGGTTCCTGCAGGTAAAAGGGTTAGTGGTAAAGGTGGACAGAGTTTTTGTCCTTCAGTAATCAGAGTAAATGACTTACTGCTGTCCTGGTTCTGTAAGAGCTGCTTCAGCTTGGGGGACAAATAGATAGTCTTCTCTTTCTGTAAAACAATGGTCTCTAAAGGCTGGGGCAAAACAGTGCCAATCAGTGTAGCTCCAGAGGAGGAGGAAGATGTTGTCAAGATAGATTCAGATTCCAGTTCAGTTTTTATTTGTGGCAGTAGAGGTGGGGTTGACGTCCTCCTTCTGCCAGATGGTTGGCCACAGAGGTCAGAGGTCGTGCTGCAGTCTCTATTAGTCTCTATTTTAAGAGCTTGCGTAATTTGAGCTGGACTGATGATCAAGGTGTCCAGCCCGATCACAGCAGTAGCGGCTGAGTTCACCTCCATCACTTCACAGTTAGCGACAGCACTGGTGGAGATGATTTTCCCATCAATATAGAAGCTGAGGTTCTCAGAGATGTTGCTGGAGATGTCAACCATGTACTCCTCCTCTTGCTCGCACCCCTCCCCACGCTGCTTACCGGCAGTTGAAGACACCCCACCAGGCTGCTGTCCCTGAGCCTCCTGAGAGATTTTTCGGCAGGCCCCCCTGGGTAAGAGATGACGCTCATGTATCCTGCGCTCATGCCTTCGCAGGTTGGTATGAGTTCCAAAAGCTTTTTTGCAGTACTTACAGGCAAAAGAGGCTTTAGTCTCTCCACTTTCGTCTGAGTCACCTCTTCCTTCTGAATCAGGCATAGGAGACCGTGTGGCTGTTTGTGACGTTAGGGCGCTGCAGTTGCCCTCTTTTGAAGGGACTGTCCCCCGAGCCTGTCCCTCAACCTGTGAAGATGGACTGATTATCAAACCACCTATTCTTCTATTTGAGTTATCATGTCTTCTTTCATGCCGTCGTCGACCAAACTGCGTACTGAAGCACTTTCTGCAGTAGCGGCATTTGAAAGTCTGTGGGTGGCAGGATGTTGACGTGTGCATATGGCGCTCCAGGCTTTGCCTGGTAGTGAACTGTTTTTGACAGTGCTGACAAGAAAATGAGCACAAACCCTGGAGGTCACCATCAGGGTTAATATCAGGGTCATAATTAGGGTCCAGGTCAGCATCTGCTTCACTTGAGGGAAAGACTGAGGCACAGTCCTGGTTGTGCATTACTGACTCCTCTGTCTCACCTGTTTGAAAGGATGCATTTTGATTTGTCTTGTCACCAATTAGCAAAGACACAGGCTCTACAGGAAGATGGCTGGTCCTTTGTACTGGCAAGGTGTCCTGATCATCTGCAGAGTGTTCCATCATCTCATATGTGTTTCCTTCTGTCACACCCTCTCTTTTCTGCCCTGAGGCACCCAGGGGGGGGACCTCCCCACTCAGAGAAGGCTGCTTATTCTCAGTGGGGCTCTGCAGAATTAGAGCCTGCTGTTGCTGCTCTCCTGGTGAAACAGACAGCTCTTCTGTTTTCGCTGCTGCAACAGATGAAAAAATGTGCATCATACCCTATTCAAAACAATAAATTGTCATTTTAAATTAATAAATAAAGTGAGTATCTCTCAAAGTCTAAGACAATGAACAATTAGGCTTATTCCATGCAGAGTTAAAGTGCAGAATATCTTGATCTTCAAACAATATGTTGATGTATAGTACTGTGCAAAAGTCAGAGATGGCTCATTTATTTAATTTCCAGCCAAAACATCCTGTCAAAATTCTTTTCTCAGCATGAGGGAAAAAGCAGAGAACATACTGCCACTGTCAAAAAAAAATACACAAAAATTTCTTTTAAAAGTTATTTTGATTTTTCTGCATCATTTGAGCAGAGCAGCTTCCCTTCACACTGCAAATGTTCATGATGAATAAAAGAAATGCTCCAGAATACAATCTTTTTATTAACTTACATTAAAAGGAAAGATTTTGCCTCCACTTTTTGGACAGTGACAATATGTTTAACGGAAAATTACACAGAAGCCTCAACAACTAAATGTAGTAACACATTTTTCAGCATTCTGTGTGCCCTTTGATTTATTACAGCTTTCATTCTTTCTGGGAAGCTTTCAGGTTTTCAAAGAAATCTGCAGAGATATTTTTCACATCTCCAAAGTTCAGGTTTAGAAGTTAGTTGCTTTTTCTGCTTCTCAAGTAATCCCAAAAACACTGAGTGATGCTGAGGTCTGGGCTCTAGGGGTCACCAGTCACTGGGCCTAACACGAGCAGCTTCTTTTTTTGATTTGCAAATTTTCTTCTTTTTTCCCTTAGTGATGGCTTCTTGACAGCTACACATCCTTTCAGTGTTGTCTTCTCACAGTGGAAAGATAGACAGAAACACCTGTGGAAAGCTTTAAATTCTGATTATCTGATGGTGACAGATTTGGTGGTCTGCTAGGTGTTGCATGATTAGATTTTCTCTGTAACTTTTAATAACTTTTTAATAACCTCAGTTTCTGAAACTCCTGCATTTTTCACATATTTTCCTTTGATTGATTATGCAAGCGGATTATCTTGTATTTAATGTCCTCAGAAACATGCTAAATGAATAACTTTAACTTCATGGCCATTTTGAATGAAAATGAAGACTGGCCTTTGATTTCTGTACTACTGGCAGCGATATTAATATAAATATTTTTTACCTACCATTCTCAGGATCCCACATCTCTGTCCCAGTGGCTTCTCTCCACCAGTTATGGAGATTTCCTATTGACTGGGAGACAGAATGAGGACATTAATGGTTGATTTTATATCAGATGAGTTTACAAAGAGCTGTCCAGAGCTGTCCGATAATGTGGGTGTAGGTGTTCATAGGAGAATGTATTACAGCTAGCTGTGCGTCTCTGTATCAGTGGAGACATGATGCAGCACAGTGTCATCCCCCCAAATGTTTAATGATCTAAACCAAACTGATATCCGTAGTAAAGTTTGACATAGGAGCATATTTTATTTCCTGCATGCAACTGTCTGTATCAATCCTTATAAAAACACTTGGATCGTTTTCCTACCTTGCCTTTTGTGACACCACACAGAAAACATATACATGGAAAGTGTATTCATGAAATACATAAAAATGGGAATTTCTGTATGTTTTTAGTATTGGGATAAATGAAACAATGAATGTATTTGAAATGTATCTCGCATGTCAATGCATTTGTTTCCGAGCTAAAAGTAACCTTTGCACATTATTCTCTTTTTTTATTTTTATTTTTTTTATTTAGACTTCTGTGAATGCATTTTGAAGAAAGGCTGTACAGAGGTTGTAAAAAAGGCTCTAAAAAATGTCCTAGAATCTGTTCCTGTGGAAATGCGACCACAGGAGTCATATCTGGCCCCTCAACAGTGTGAAATCATTAGTAAAAGTTCATTTCACACCAGAGCACTCTCACATATTATACATGAAAATTAAAAACTTCATTTCCAGGGCAGAAGAATGTTAACGGACTGCGGCATAATAGAAACAGATGGCTCCCTGATGATGGCTGTTATGCACGAAATACAGCTTTCTATATTCTGCCCTGTCCTTTTTAAGATTCCTGGATGGATCTGCCTTGGAAATAAAGGCAGTTTTTAAGTATAAAACGTAATAGTGTCTTGGTGTGAAGTGAACCTTTAGTAACTGTATATCCAGCCTTGTTACCAAGGTGCACATTACTGACTCTCCATGATATATCTGGAAAAAGTCACCTGAGCATGCTGATACGTTTCTCTTTTGCATGAAGGTGAAATCAAAAAGTAAATGCTGTTAAACAGTAACCAAGTGAAGTTCTTCTGCATTATGAACTACCATATATTGTTAAATGAACTGGAACGCAGTAAAAGGTAATAAATTGTGGTTGTAAAACCAATAGATGGTTCTTCCAGGATTCTTTAGTAAATGGAATGGCTCTGTTTAGTACCATGAGTTTTGGCATGCTTAAATGGTTCTTTGCATGGTGAAATTGTTCTTCTGATGAAGAATGCATTGTATATGGCTCTATGTATAACTTTTTTTTGAAAATGGTTCTATATAGCACTGAATAGGGGTCTTCTTTTTTACAAGCTTGACATTGTAACAATAGCAGAACATATTTGGTTCTATATAGAACCATACACAACACATTCTCCATCAATCTGAAGAACGATTTCACCATGTAAAGAACCATTTAAGCACAAAATGGTTCTATATACTAAAGAACCCTTAAACCTTCTTTTTTAAGAGTGCAGAAGATGGCTATGTTACTAGTAACCATTAGCCATTTGAAGTAGGGGAGTGCAGGGAACAACCTAACGCAGAGCACATTTTAACCCAGACTTTTTACGTAGTTATACAAGGTCAAGCAGCATGTGCTTCTGGCCACATTACCACATTTTCTAGCCACGGTCTCCTGTGAAAATTCAGAGCAATTCGTCAGCGCTTTAAAGAGATCTGTGCCAAAGAGTGTTTTCAGGGCAGGGCAGGTAAGTAATTTTTTTCAACACAAGTTCTTTTCAGTTACTGCGCTGTTTGTGTAATTCACAAAATCCAACCGCATATTACTGTAATCACCGTCTTGCTGCCTAGAACATAGCACTGAAGCATGTGATCAACTCACAGCAAGTGCTTGCTAGGCTTTAGTACAGCCTCCGTACTGCGGGGTTAGCTGTTACAAGTGTTACAACGAAGCCACCTTTAGTAAAAAAAAAATAAATTTAGTCTTTTTGTTCCATATGTTTACCCAGATTTTGAAATAAAAAAGAGAAAACATCTGAAAACATGGATTTTCTTCTACTTTAACATTATCTTTTAGGTGTTAGTATTTTGGTTTTAAATAAGTAGAGTAGTGTATTTGACATGAACAGTTAGTAAAGCTGTAGTTATTCAGAAACAATGTGCCATATTTTACTGATGTGAGATGTTTTTATTTGCTGTCCTACACTGGACAAAAAAAAATGTCATTGTTTGATACACAGTCTCATGTCAGTGTTCATAAATAATTTGATGTGTGTGTTGACTGTCTGTCTGTCTGTCTAACAGACTGATAACATATAATGCAGTATGGCTGGAAATTTGATTTATTTCTTACAACACAGAATTACATTGAATTAACCTTGTTCACACCAATTCATCAGACTTTTCTAGCAAGTGTTACATCTAACCGTCTGTCTGTTACAGGTAACCCCACCCATGAGGTGAATTACAACATTGTGCGTCCCGTCATTTTGGGTGGAATTGTACATGAACGGTAGGAGCTAGAAACAAAGTTCAAGTGTCCGTTTGTAGCAGAGATGTATATGTTGCTTGTATAGAAATATGATCATTCCAACATAAACATTTTTTAATTATTTCGCAAAAAGCTAAATGTGTTAGGTTGCGCCCCTCTCTCTCCCCTAAAGCGCATTCTGTGCTCCTGTTCTCTGACCGTGCCCTGAGAACAGGTGACGGGTGAGGTCAGTCTAGCACTTCATCTGAACGACACAGCCTTTCTGGCTATGTATTTATCTCAGTTACGAGCCTCGTTGATGGAACAGGCTTATTATAAACCTGGTGCGCCATGTTCTGATGAAGCCTCGGCCCACACCGTCGCTGAGCTAATCTGCCACAAGCGCGAATGACTGTTTCACTGAAAGAGCGCTAACGCATCTCCCTTGTGCTAAATCGAGTGGGCAGGCTGCGCGGGTTGTTTTCTATGGCTCTCTATTGTTGGAACCATCCACAATCTACTAAAGCTATGCGTTAAATATCAATCCTGTGCCATCCTGGGCGAATCTGTCGAAGATGACCAAAACGGCAATGAGCGCATTTATTCTGGGGCTTCAGGTGCAGCGCACACATGTTGCGGCTGTGGCCGACAGTCTGCTTAAATAAAGGCAGAGCTGGCCACGGCCGCTGGGCGCAGTCTGGAAGGTCATGGCCGGCCAGACACACGTAATCAACCGTCACATGCAACGGCAAAAGATACCGCAAAGACTTTATATAACCGTCTGCTCTCATTTCATATAACTGTGTATAAAGTCTCAATCCGCTAGGTGGTCCCGTTGACTGTGATGCATGGCTGTGCTGTATAAACAAGATGCTGGTGACCACCACTGCGGTGAACGTGGTTCTTTGGTGAGGGTCCATTTTACGCAGTAGCATCGCAGTGGAGGTGGGAGTCGCATGCCTCCGCATTGCTTACCGGCTCTGTTGTAGCTTGTGGCTGCTCTCATGTGGGCAGGATCCGGGCTGAGGCTGCTGCAGTCCCCGGGCCGGTGGCTAAAAGCTAACGCTCCTTAAGGTTGTCGCTGCAGAGCGCACGGCGTCTACGGCGCATGCGCGCAGCAGCCATACTCGCTGATGGCACAGCACATGATCGCATTTCACTACCAGAACTTGGAGAGAAAGGCATCTGGAGGACACCGAATGCCATAGTAATAAATAAATATGTCATTAAAACAATCTTAAACATATACTTAAATATAAAAACATTCAGCAATTCAGCAAACTTCAGCAATCATATTTCATGCTTTATTGAAGGATATATGGATAGATTTACTCAGGCATATACTGAATTATTAGTTATACTAGGATATACTTAACTGTATAATGATGGGTTTAATGGTTTATTAATTAATAATGTACTCTGTGTCCTCTATAAAGGAACAGGTAGATGGTAATATACACCCCAGAGAAAACTGGACATTAGTGGAACTGGGATTGGGCATGGTTAAATACTTATTGTTCATAAATCCTGATCTGGGTGAAAACACCTCCCAATAGCCCAAGCAGGTGCTGTCATTTTAGCACCTGGTGGGCCAGAGGATCCCATTCCCAGTCCTGAGGATCCCACACTACACATTTTTTTTTGTTTTCTTGCATCAAGCTCACCTAGTTCAACTCATTAGCCAGAAAAAAAGCTCCAAATATGCTGGTCAAGCGTGTTAGAATACATGTGCAGGGCATAGGGTCCCCAGGACTGACTTTGTGAACCACAGTAGGCTGATTGTAAACCCTCTGTAGTTTATTCAGGTGTTAGCTCTGGCTTAATCATTTCATCGACTTTTTTTTCACAAATTTCTACTGCTATTAATATTTAATTGAGCGTTGCTTGTAATTGTTTAGCAGGGATGCTGATAAATACCCCTGTATGTATGTATGTATGTGTGTGTGTGTATGTATATGTATGTATGTACGTACTTTACTTTTATTGTAAGTTAATGGAATCAGACTTTTGTACACACATTGTAAAAGGCAACAGGCATTTTCAACTTATGTCAAAAACTGAAAAACAACAAAATATGGAGATACTAGGTTTTCTTCCGACAACAGCGATATATATGTATTACTTGCTCATCTGAATTATTAACTATATTTATAGTAGGGTCCATGACACGTGTGTGTGTGTGTGTTGGAGGAGAGAAAGTTAAGGTTATGTTTGTATGGTGTTGAACTCTAGTTTAAAAGGAAATTTCACCAGTGACTGCATAATTAAATCTTTAAGATATAAATAAAGTCATTCAAAAATAAGTTCATTCATAAAAGGTTTGATGTGAAATGTACTGTTCTAGAGACCTTTACTCATTTCACAGTGGTGGTAATAGGAACCAGACGTCCAAGAAATGTAATGCCTCTAAAAGCTACCTCACAGAAAGTCATTACATAAACCGATTCCAAATACACTGCTTAAAGAGTGAGTCACTGTGTTTATGATGGGTTTGGGAAGGTTTTGGCTAAAATGTATTTTTTATCCATTCATACCGCAGAGGTACACACGGGGTGTTATAAGGCAAAATAATCTCATAAAAATATATATTTTTTCACACTATTTTTTTATTTCATTATTCATTATCAGTATTACATATAACAACCCAGAAGACACATGTAGGCTCACTGGTGGTTTTGGATAATAAATAACTAGGCCTATGTCTCAGTTCTGACCTCTGGTTCCAATCACCACCAAAGAAATCATTATGTTAGTCATAACGTTTCTCTACAATTTAATATTTCACATTAGTCATTCTGAATTACTTTGTATACATGTCATCCACAGGATTACACTGACATTTTGAAAAAGTGGTGGAATTCAGTAAGTAGGTCTGTCTTTGGTCCTCAGTTGCCTGTAGTTTTTACATTTAACCACTGGAGGTCACAATCTTTCAGTTTGTTGTGGAAGGTGGAAAATGCAGTGTGTGTGCCTGTGTGTGTGTGTTTGTGTCTGTGTGTGTGTAATGAATATTATTTGCTTCATCATGATGACTTGTTGCTCCTTCTTAAGATCTTAATAAGGTGACTGCATATGTAAAAGCAATATTACAATGCAATTTCATTTACCAATTACACTTCTTTAAGTGTAAAGGTTGGTTATTTACTCAGATTATTTTCACTTCTTTGTAAGTTTTAGTTGATTAGTCACAGGCTTATTACATACTATGGCTTATCTATCACCAGCTACAGGGGCTTCAGTGCAAACTGGCTGAGCTATTCTTAGGTTATAGAAGTGTGTAATAAAACTTTGGGCCGGGGGAGAGGTTAAAGTCTGTTGACAGAATGAAAACAAACTATTTTAAGAATATTATATAATGAAAACAGTTTTATATCTGGTAACATGATAGTGTTCAGTGAACATTAAGAGTCAACACTTTATTGACTCTTAATGATTCTTAATAGATTCTAGCTTTTAGTTTTCACACACTTTGGTTGAATGGAGGCGTAACATTTCTAGTGCCAGATAAGGTCAATAATATCTCATTCCAGGAAAGCTTAGTGATGTTCAGACATCGACTTGTCTACTCTCACGAGGAACTTTCGATTTAGCCTCAAACATCACCTACGCTAAGGATCCAGATCACCACATAAGTACGTTAGGATGCTAAGCATTGCACGTCACAGCCACTTTTCAGACTCCATATTTACACAGCCTGGGGGGTGTACGTGCGTTCAGGTATATATTTTTAGACATATTAAGACGTTTAAATACCTCTTATTAAATGTTTTTTTTAGATTTTACATTTTACAGTATTTGAAAATGCCAGCTGCCCTTTACATTTATGTGAACATTTATGAAAGTTTGACTAATAGATGTGGTCTAAAATCTCATTATTAACTTTAACATTACCATAAGTTAACATTAATATAAATCAACAAATTACAATTAAGAACATTTTTCCCTCTCTTATCATTTTGGAGAGCTGAGATATAATCTGAGAGTGTATGCACTATATTATTGGCCAAAATCTTAAAAGCCTGTGTAATTTTCTGCTTACATTTATATGGATGTCCACTGAGTAGGCTAATCCCTGAAAGATCATAGAAAATCATAGTTATACAGATGTTTTATACAGGGGATTGTCTAGAATAACTTTCTGTTGAGCTCAGGGAGGTGGGAAACTCCATTCCTGGAGGGCTGGATTCACACCTGGTTCAACTCATCACTTCATTTTCCAGACTTTCATCCATAAGCATTACAGGCTTAGCTCTTGCTGGGTTCTGATCCTGTCTTGCTAACAGGAAACAGTTTATTTTTGTAAGTTCACACAAATCATCCACTGCTCCAGTTGTTTAGGGAGTGCCCCATGGTTCTGTCCTTGGACCCATCCTTTTTATTTTATACATCTCATCACTAGGTCAGATTCAAATCATTCAAATTCTTGGGCTTAACTTTCACTGTAATGCTGATGAAATTCAGAGCTACATTAGCATTGCATCCCCCATAGTCTCAGCTCAACCACTAAGTTTATGCATTACAGATTTAAGACACTGGTTGATAATAATTTCTTGAAACTAAATGCAGACAAAACTGAAATCTTGTTAGTTGGCCCTAAAACACAGGTTTCCAATCTCACTGTGAATGTTGATGGTATTCATATTAAACCAGTACAGTAAAGCTGTTAAAAACCTTGATTTCATTCTTAATTTTTCACTTACATTTGAGCCCCATATTAAGTCACTTACTACGACTGCATTGCGTAATATTGCACGCCTCCGCCCTCAGCTTAACAACGCTGACGCTAAAATGCATTCAATTTCTCCCGCATTGATTCTTGCAACTCCCTCTTTAATGGTCTTTCTGTTAAATTGCTCAACTGGCTTCAGTTTCAGTGGTTACCAATATCCTCCTGTACCAAGTACAAACTTCTCCTAACTTTGAAAGCCCTCAATGGTCTCACCCCTATATAACTTAGTGAACTCCTTCACCCATACTGTCCTTCTCGCTCCCTCAGATCTTCTGCCACTGGACTTGCAGTCCCACGCACAGTAGGGGCAGATCTGCTCCCAAACTTTGGTACTGTCTCCCACAATCTCTATGTGACTACTCTACCGTCTCTTCTTTTAAAGTTTAGCTTAAAACTTTCCTCTTTACTGCTCACTATTCTTCTTCCTCAAAGTCTTAGGTCTGTTTTTTTCCCCTTGTTTTGCTTTGCTTCTTTTTGTGAAGCATCCTAGGGTTTGTCAAATGTGCTATATAAATTGAACTTACAATACATTGAAGTAAATATCTTGTATATGTACTGTTGATACATTACTTACATTAAGTAGATGTATTGTTAATATGTTATTTCTGTTACACAAAACCCAACCTTACCCAAAACCTAACCCTAACCCTGGCTGTAATCCTAACATTAACCTTAACCTCAACCCAAAACCTAACCTTAACCCTGGCCATAAGCCTAACATTAACCTTAACCTCAACCCAAAACCTAACCCTAACCCTGGCCCTAATCCTAACCCTAACCTTAACCTCAACCCAAAACCTAATCCTAACTCTGATATGTTTTTGAGATGTTACTGAGAGTCTGTTGAGTGTTTGTTTCATCTAAAAAGGACCTCTGTACATAAAATATCACCAATAATAATAACTAAATAATAAGCCTAGGCTTCTTAGCTTTTTAGTAAAAACAGAAGTATTTACATTAACAGATGTTAAGAACTTTTGCAAGTTTTCATTGCAACAAATGGATGAAAGTAAGTAATGTAAGACGTTCTAGAAAACAGACAGATGCTTTCACTTAAGTACAGTTTCTGAGTACAGTGCTGCAGTGGTAGCAACTACCACATGTGGCACTTTATCGGCCTTTCGTTAGCTTATTTTGTGCAGTTGATATTTTCAATGTTCAGTTACACACAGCACTCAGTAGGCCTCGTTCTGCAGACCCCCTAATGGTCATTCAGCCAGCAGAACTGAAATCAACTCAGATATTTTTAATTGATATAATTAAACAAAATATTCTTGCTGTAACTCTGTTATAAGATTAACCAGGATTCTGTTGTCTGTGTATGTGTGAAATTTTTCTTTGTTGCTAGCGAGCAAGGAATG